AATAGGAAAAGTTCTTATCAAAAACCGAGATTCTAGCAGATCTGAGGAGAACGAGCTCTCTCTGTGTACGCTCACACTTTTTCAGACCCAGAGATCAACAACCACCCCCACCAGAACCAACAATCACTTTTTTTATTCCACCCCTCCCACCTTCCATCCATCCATCCATCCATCCATCCATTTTCATCCGCTTATCCGGAGTCGGGTCGCGGGGGCAGTAGCCTAAGGCGAGAGGCCCAGACTTCCCTCTCCCCAGCCACTTGGGCCAGCTCCTCCGGGGGAATCCCAAGGTGTTCCCTGGCTAGGTGAGAGACATAGTCCCTCCACCGTGTCCTGGGTCTACCTTTAGGTCTCCTCCTGGTTGGAAGTGCCCGTAAAACCTCACCAGGAAGGCTTCCAGGAGGCATCCTGACCAGATTCCCGAGCCACCTCATCTGGCTCCTCTCGAGGTGGAGGTGCAGAAGTCAGAGCTGCTCCAGAGGAACTGATTCTCTCCCAGCTGCTTCACACTCGGCTGCGAACTACTCCAGCGAAAGCTGAAGATCACGTTCTGATGAAGCCAACAGGACCACATCATCTACAAAAAGCAGAGACCTGATCCTCAGGCCACCAAAACGGATGCCCTCCACACCTTGGCTGCGCCTAGAAATCCTGTCCATAAAGATTATGAACAGAATCGGTGACAAAGGGCAGCCTTGGCGGTGTCCAACTCTCATTGGGAACGAGCCCGACTTGCTGCCGGCAATGCGGACCAAGCTCTGACACCGGTCATACAGGGAACTAACAGCCCTTATCAGAGGGCCTGGTACCCCATACGCCCGGAGTACCCCCCACAGGGCCCCCCAAGGGACGCGGCCAAACGCCTTCTCCAAATCCACAAAACACATGTAGACTGGTTTGGCAAATTCCCATGCACCCTCCAGGATCCCCCTAAGGGTATAGAGCTGGTCCAGTGTTCCACGGCCAGGACGAAAACCACATTGCTCCTCCTGAATCTGAGGTTCAACAATCCGACGGACCCTCCTCTCCAGAACCCCTGAATAGACCTTACCAGGAAGGCTCAGGAGTGTGATCCCCCTGTAGTTGGAACACACCCTGCGGCCCCCCTTTTTAAATAAGAGGACCACCACCCCGGTCTGCCAGTCCAGTGGGACTGCCCCCAATGTCCACGTGATATCGCAGAGCTGCGTCAGCCAACACAGCCCCACAACATCCAGAGCCTTAAGGAACTCCGGGCGGATCTCATCCACCCCTGGAGCCTTGCCACTGAGGAGCTTTTTAACCACCTCAGTGACCTCAGCACCAGAGATTTGAGAGGCCAACCCAAAGTCCCCAGACTCTGCTTCCTCACTGGAAGACGTGTCGGTGGGATTGAGGAGGTCTTCAAAGTACTCTGCCCACTGATCCACATTGTCCTGAGTAGAGGTCAGCAGCACACTGTCCCCACTATAGATAGTGTTGGTAGCGCACTGCTTTCCCCCCCGAGGCGCCGGATGGTGGACCAGAATCTCCTCTAAACCGTACGGAAGTCTTGCTCCATGGTCTCACCGAACTCCTCCCATGCCCGGGTTTTTGCCTTGGCGACCACCCGAGCCGCGTTCCGCTTGGACTGCCGGTACCCATCAGCTGCCTCTAGAGTCCCACAGGCCAAAAAGACCTGATAGGACTCTTTCTTCAGCTTGACAGCATCCCTAACCGCCGGTGTCCACCAGCGGGTTCGGGGGTTGCCACCACGACAGGCACCAATGATCCTGCGACCACAGCTCCGGTCGGCCGCCTCAACAATGGAGGCACAGAACAGGGTCCATTTAGACTGAATGTCCCCCGCCTTACCCGGAACATTTTGGAAGTTCCGTCGGAGGTGGGAATTGAAGCTACTTCTGACAGGAGACTCTGTCAGACGCCCTGGTCTGACCGACATCCTCCCCCACCATCTGAGCCAACTCACCATCAGGTAGGGGTCAGTTGACAGCTCCACCCCTCTCTTCACCCGAGTGTCCAAGACATGCGGCCGCAGGTCAGATGAAACAACAACAAAGTCGATCATCGACCTGCAGCCTAAGGTATCCTGGTGCCAAGAGCACATATGGACACCTTTATGTCTAAACATGGTGTTCATAATGGACAATCCATGACTGGCACAGAAGTCCAGTAACAAAACACCACTCAAATTCAGATCGGGGGGCCGTTCCTCCCAACCACACCTCTCCAGGTCTCACTGTCGTTGCCCACGTGAGCTTTAAATTCCCCCAGCAGAATGAAGGAATCACCAGAAGGAGCGCTTTCCAGCACCCCTTCCAAGCTCTCCAAAAAGGGTGGGTAGTCTGAACTGTAGTTTGGTGCATAAGTACAGACCACAGTCAGAACCCGTCCCCCCACACGTAGGCGGAGGGAGGCTACCCTCTCATTCACTGGGGTAAACCCCAACGTACAGGCACCAAGATGGGGGGCAACTAGTATGCCCACCCCTGCTTGGCGCCTCTCAGTGGGAGCAACTCAAGAGTGGTAGAAAGTCCAACCCCTCTCAAGGAAACTGGTTCCAGAGCCAGAGCCAATCGTTGAGGTGAGTCCGACTATATCTAGTCGGAACCTCTCAACCTCACACAACAACTCAGGCTCCTTCCCCACTAGAGAGGTGACATTCCATGTGCCAAGAGCCAGCTTCTGCAGCCGAGGATCAGACCGCCATGGTCCCCGCCCTCGACTACCACCCGTCACACACTGCACCTGACCCCTTTGGCCCATCCCACGAGTGGTGAGCCCATGGGAAGGGGGACCACGTTTCCTCTTTGGGCTGTGCCCGGCCGGGCTCCATGGGTGAAAGCCCGGCCACCAGGCGCTCGCCAACGTGCCCCACCTCCAGGCCTGGGTCCAGAGGGGGACCCTGGTGACCCACGTCCGGGCAAGGGAACACGGTTTCCATTTATATAATTCATCATAAGAGGTCTTCGGGCTGCTCTTTATCTGATCCCTCTCCTAGGACCTGTTTTTTACCCTGGGTGACCCTACCAGAGGCAGAAAGGCTCAGACAACTTAGCTCCTAGGATCATTGAGACTCTCAAACCCCTCCACCACGGTAAGGTGGCCAGCCCACCTTCACGCATCATAATTTTTTCTCATTCTTCTGGGCTGTTTCTTTATTTTTTTATTTTTTTATATCAAAGATCAACTTCTTGACAGGAAGAGTCATATTTTATTTTTGCATCACAAAACGCCCATTCTCTTCAAGTGTGATCTTAGTGGTTTAACGCCTCCTCGCCCAGGCAGCAGCCAAGGCCCCCTCTTCTTTCCTTCCTGTCCTTCTTCACACATGCAGTTCCCTCCAATTGTGACCTTTTTTCAGTTTCCATGCTCTTGTTTCTGAGAAGTCAGCCGTGCACTCTTTTGGAGTCTTGTTTCCAAAAAACCCAGTCAGCTTGCTCTCTTCCACAGAACTGGGTGCAGGGGGGGGGGGAGTAGGGCTGGAGGTCAGAGGTTTCCACACAGAGATGAGCTTGGCTCAGACTCGAACTATGTTATCAGTGAGTCTGCCCAAAGTCTCCTCTCAATATTTCATAAATCAGTCTTTGGACTGTTTGTACACACATTCTAAATTTCGGTCGTAGGAGGGAATATAGGACAGTTTCTACTAACGTTTGATAAATGAGGTCCCGTTTATCAAACGTTCATATATTCTATCCTACGAATGGAATTTAGAATGTTCATACGAACAGTCCAAAGACTGATTAATGAAACGTGCGGTGGCCTTTCCTACGCACGTTCCTCCGCAATCGTCTGATGATAAATCCCACCTGTGCATACTCAGGTGCTCATCAGAGTCAGCAGACACTTTTCTCTTCTCTCCTGTCTCTTATCATCCTGTCTCTCTGCCTCAGAGCGATTCTTTGGATTCTTTCTAGAATTCCTAATTTTTAAAAAATCATGGATTTGGTAAGCTGGTTTATGAATGCAATTGATACATTTTTTCAACATTCACAACCAAGAAAGGAGCTCCCACATGCCTGGACATGCACCTCGTTGGATATATTTTGGATTCCTGGAAGAAGTGGAAAATTATGCGTCTTTCTTTGCTGATTCTGTTATGTTGTTGTATGTCAACTCTTGGACGAGTTGTTCTGAAACTGCCATCTTGTTGTACCGGGATGCTGCATCAATGACAATAAACATTCTGTCTGTCTGCCAGAAGTCAACTCTGTGTACAAACTGATGACACATTGCTTCCTGTTTCCTGTGCAATACCATTCCAATTTATTTCTATGGCGCATAACAGCATTGGAGCTGACCAAGTGCCTCCCAATAAACATAAAAAAACAGTCACGTAAAAATACAGATTAAACAATCAGTGAAAGCAGACAAAAACAGCAATCAAAGCACGCAATAAAAATTGTAAAAACCTAAAAGCCAATTTGTAAAAGTGTGTCTTCAACTGTGACTTGAAGACACCAATGGATGGTGACTGTTGAATAGTGTGTGGCAGTGCATTCCAAAGAGTGGGAGCTACATACACAAAGTTAATGGTCACGCAGGATATATAGCACCTCCCTGCTATCATCTGCGGCGTCACTCATTATTTTTAACCAAGCAGTCGCAGAGGAACTTGACATTTGGTTTCCCACAGTTCATAATTCTTTTCATCTCCGTCAAAACATAAATGATTCAATCGTCTCCCAAGCTCTTTACCGGGCACATAACCTGTTGGTGCAGCCATGCTGACCGAGTTAGAAGCCGGCAGATGGAGGATAAACTGGCCCGCATTTAAACAACAAACAACTGTGAATGAGCAGCCCTTTTACTGTAATCACTCACAGGTGTGTAGCCCCGCCTTCAACCCAAATGCAGGTTACTGAATTAAGAACGTAAAAAGGAAATGGATCACTATAGTCAACACACACAATGTATAAAATTGTTTCTATGTACCAAATACACACAGACCTTCTGGTTCAGTTGTCTTAAATCCAGGAAGCTGCTGCTGGTTTGACCTCATCTCCTCTGGTTGTCAGGAACACACAAGGAGTTGCAGTACATTGGCTCAGTGGACTACTGGATCAGACTGACGGTCCCGGAGACAAAGACGACCCATCCGAACCGGGAGAAGCTGCAGTCTGTGGGCTCATTACACACTCGTCTCAGTCCACACTCACAGGTAACCAAGAGTCTGTTCAGATCCAAACACCTCAGAACTTTAGGGGTTTTATTTGGACCTGCTAAGAAATGACCAATCAGCTGTTGGTGTTAGTGAAAGTGGTTCGGTTATTCAGCTCTGTTATTTCTGATTCCTCCTCATGTTCCTCCAGCTGCTGCAGGCCCCCAGCTGGAACCAGCTCTTCATCACTGTGCAGCGCTGCTCCAACCTTCAGCCCAGAATATCTCACCACCCCAGTCCCTACGTGGTCTACAAGTTCTTTACCTTTCCTGACTACCCCACTGCTACTGTCCATGATTCCTTTGACCCGGAGTTCAATGACTTCCAGTCCTTCTCCATCCTGATGGATCAGGATCTGGACCAGTACCTGAAGTCAGAGCTGCTCCAGATCTACGTGTTTGACGACAAGGAGAAACAGATGGATGTGTACCTGGGGAAGGCCCAAGTACCTTTGTTGTCACTGACCCACAATCAGGAAGTCTCTGGTGAGTGTAACTAGGTCTGTTCGGGTGTACTGGGATCCAACTGAGCTCAGTTCTGTTGCTGGTCTTGAGTAAACCAGACTCAGGGGGCGGTCCAGAGAGGCGATGGACATGATGTGTGTTTTTATTTGTTTTTAACCTGTAACGTGTGGACATTTGGCCAGTTCCACACAGTGCAGAAAACCCTAATATTTGGTTTTAGCGGTATTGTGTGAAGTAACTTTTAGTTTAGGTTACTTTAGGTCAGGGCCAGCAGTAGAACAACATTGGTTATTGTTAGGGTTAGGCACATTCCAGTCACTAAAACAAATGGAAGTCAATGATGGTCTTCACAACGAATGCAAGACGAGGATGCATGTGTGTGTGTGTGTGTGTGTGCGTGTGCGTGCTTGCGCTTGCCTGTTCTCACTGTTTGGTATTTCCAGGTGTGTTTGATCTGACCGCTTTTTCTGGACTTCCTGCCGGCTCCATTGACGTAACACTGAGATGGAACTCCTCCTATCGACCTCCACCAGGAACTGTTGATGCTTCTGAATCACTCCATTTTGTGTCACAGAGGAAACATGTTGAGGAACTCACTGATTCAGAACCACAACAGCAGAACATAGAAAAAGAAACAACTGAGACAAGCCTGGAAGTTGTTGAGAAGCTGCAGATGGACAGAACCCCCCTTTACTCCAGCCATGGCACTGAAGCTGCTCTTGCTCCCGCAAAGGTCAGAGTTCAGCATCCACTTACAATGTACCAACTGGCCAACTCAGCGCCACTAGAAATGATCTATTGTAGTTGGATGGCCTTTCCATCAGTAACGGGTACCAGGTTGCTGCCTCCTTTTCAATATCTACTTTGTTGTGTCGTACCGAGCCTGGCAGAAAACGCAACGTCAACAGCGGTTGGTCACTAGTTAGCTAGGTGGAGTCAATGATCAGCTAGGGGGTGGAGTCACTGGTTAGCTAGGAGGTAGAGTCACTGGTTAGCTAGTGGATGGCGTCACTGGTTAGCTAGGAGTTGTAGTTCATGGTTAGCTAGGGGGTGGAGCCACTGGTTAGCTTGGAGGTAGAGTCACTGGTTAGCTCGGAGGTGGGGTCACTGGTTAGCTAGTGGATGGAGTCACTGGTTAGCTAGGAGTTGTAGTTCACGGTTAGCTAGGAGGTAGAGTCACTGGTTAGCTCGGAGGTGGGGTCACTGGTTAGCTAGTGGATGGAGTCACTGGTTAGCTAGGAGTTGTAGTTCATGGTTAGCTAGGGGGTGGAGCCACTGGTTAGCTTGGAGGTAGAGTCACTGGTTAGCTCGGAGGTGGGGTCACTGGTTAGCTAGGAGGTAGTCACTGGTTAGTTAGGGGATGGAGTCACTGGTTAGCTAGGAGGTAGAGTCACTGGTTAGCTAGTGGATGGAGTCACTGGTTAGCTAGGAGGTAGAGTCAATGGTTAGTTAGTGGATGGAGTCACTGGTTAACTAGGAGTTGTAGTTCATGGTTAGCTGGGGGGTGGAGCCACTGGTTAGCTTGGAGGTAGAGTCACTGGTTAGTTAGGGGATGGAGTCACTGGTTAACTAGGAGTTGTAGTTCATGGTTAGCTGGGGGGTGGAGCCACTGGTTAGCTAGGAGGTAGAGTCAATGGTTAGTTAGTGGATGGAGTCACTGGTTAACTAGGAGTTGTAGTTCATGGTTAGCTAGGGGGTGGAGCCACTGGTTAGCTTGGAGGTAGAGTCACTGGTTAGTTAGGGGATGGAGTCACTGGTTAGCTAGGAGGCAGAGTCACTGGTTAGCTCGGAGGTGGGGTCACTGGTTAGCTAGGAGGTAGAGCCACTTGTTAACTAGGGGATGGAGTTGAGAAAAGTGGAGTCCCCATAATTGTCCTTCTAGAGCCGTGTCTCAGTTGTATTGGAAAAACAAGTCAAACCATGTATACCGTGAGTTGAGTGGAGTTCAGTAAGGAAACTCAGACTGGTTTTATGACATCATCAGAGACCAAAGTTCTCCTTCTCCTCCTACTGAACCATTCTAACATCCATTCTCTACCCACTCACTCTGACCTACAGGAGCTGATGTCCAAACTCAGAGGACAGAGCCCACGAGAAGATGGACCAGCTGCCAAACGGGTCACATTTATAGATGCCACTCCTGCAGACACTCAGGTGAGAGTTCCTGACTGCTCCTCTGTCTCACACAAGCATCAACTTTAAAGAATTCTGATGCCAGCATAGAACCAAACCTTCAGTTTGATTGATGTATTTTATGTCTTGCCCTGCAGTGGGCGTCAGGAGCTCCGCCCACTGCAGAGGAAACCTGGTATGAAAGGAATTAAACTTTAAACTTCACACAGAGTTGGTTTATTTAGTCTTGCTGCTGATTTATTCTAGAAATGGATGAACTTTCCTCAGGAGCTGGATCCTTATTAAAATGTGTTTTAAACAGTCTTAATGTTGATCCTTGTGGTCTCACCTGAGTGAAGCTGAGGTTTCTGATTCACAGGTAGAGTCCAAAGCTTCTCAGAGAGCCACAGAAGAAGAGGGTGATGAAGAGTTCCATGTCTCTGAGGGCCAGCTGGTTCCGAGTACTCAGTCAGACTTGGACGACTCCGACATTTCTGAGGAAATTATGGAAGGTCAGAATACCGCTGAAACACCTGTCACCTGCCTAGAGTGTACAGTGGGGTAAAAATATTTGGCAGCCTCAAATTGTGAAAGTTGTCCCACTTAAAAAGAGGAGAGAGGTCTGTAATTTTCATCACAGGTTTACGTCAGCTGTAAGGCCTCATCCACATCTGGGTCAGCCCGGTCCAGCCCTGGTAGGTAATTGTCTCCACATCTGGGCGTTTTCTGAGCTCAGCCGACCACGTGCTCGGTGACAGGGGGTGGGCTGACCCCGATGTGAAAGTGGCTTAAGAGACAGAACATAAAATAAATTCACATTAGGTGTGTTTCCATTGCTGGAACTTAGGGGAAATTTCTGGGAGGGGGAAATTGACCAGGAGATACGAAGTCCCGGTCCTCTCAGCTGTTTTCTCTAAACTTGTGTGCTTCCTGAAGTCCACAACAACCTCCACTGTCTTCTGGGTGTTTAGCACCAGGTTGTTGTGGCTGCACCAGGACACCATGCATGGCTCAATTCATCCTCCATGCATTCTGTGTGTGTGTGTGTGTGTGTGTGTGTGTGTGTGTGTGTGTGTGTGTGTGTGTGTGTGTGTGTGTGTGCGTGCGTGCGTGCGTGCGTGCGTGCGCGCGCTCTGTCTTCTCCATCCCCAGTGAGTCGTGGAGGATGGCTGCTTATACTGAGCCAGGATCCTCTGGAGGTTTCTTCCTGTTAAAAGGGAGTTTTCCTCTCTACTGTCGCTGCATGCTTGCTTAGTATGAGGACTGCTGTAAAGACTCTGATGCTAGTCAGTGACTCGATGCAACCTGCTGGGTTCTTTATATAAGAAACTTTTTACTGATTGGCTTAATGAACTGACCTATATTAGAATGTGTGAAGTGCCTTGAGACGACTCTTGTCGTGATTTGGTGCTGTATAAATAAACTGAACTGAATTAAATTGAATTCTTGTTGGATTTCAGTCGGACATCAGGCCCTACATCTTGTTTTTTTCTGTTTTCTCTCCTGATTCTAGATGTGGAGGAAGATCCTGCTGCTACAGACTGCCAGACAGCATTGACCCAGTCTGACAGTGATGACTGCATCATTCAAAGACCGGAAGCAGGGGTCAAGGTAAGCTGGCTAGTCTTCTTCTGAGATGGCTGAAGACAGTACAGAGAAGAGTCATAGGGTGGAGCCACAAGGAGGAGTCATTAAACATGGGGTGGAGTCGGGGTGGGGCTATAGGACAAAGTCATGGGGCAGAGGCAGCAGCAGGATTGTGAACTGGTGTTTGCCTTTTAGACCGTATATTTCCATGTTAGTCTGGTAAGAACCTCTGATGCATCTGGATCATCTGGAATAAGAGTCTGTTCTGATCTGCAGCCACTGGAGCGGGTTCTGGTCCAGGTGGTGTCTCTGAGCCTGACACCAGAGTCTCGTCTGGTGCGAGACGACAGTGTGGTCCGTTTGTTTGTGGAATATAACTTCCTGGATCTTCCCACCCAGGAAACCCCCCTGTCTCTTCCCAAACCCCCCCAGGGCCGGAGCATCTACTTCAACTACAGCCAAGGTTTGTCTCTACAGGAACATTCGTCTGGGTTTCATCACAACCTCCTGATTTCCCTCAGGTTTTATTCTTTGTCTCAGAGATGCCGACTTGTTTTAATTCCATCTACAGTGTAAGTTTCCTTCCTGGAAGTCCAAGACCCGGACCCTCATTTATCAAACATTTGTAGAAACTGTCCTATGAATGAAATCTAAAACGTTCGTACGAACATGATTTACGAAACACGCGAGGCTTGTTCTTCTGCATTCAACTGTTGTATGACCATCATGATTTTCAGGGTTTTCTGACAAATGTAGTGGATGTACTCTTTTATGCTGAGCACTAGGTACATGTTGGGCAATTTCTATATTGCTTCCAAATTACCTCAAAAAAAGTCAGAGCATACACGGAGGGATTAGATCTTTGGAAATTGTAACCATCAAACAACAATCAATAAACGAACTTTGCAAAGGGTGAAAAACATTACACACCAGAGTCAGAGGCGGTTTGTTCTCACACAGAAGCAAAGCTGCGAGCGCTTTTATTAGGACCAAGTCAGAGATAACCACACTTACACAGAAGATAACAGGAATTCTTCAAAGGGGTCTTCACAGCAGGATGCTACAGACAGACCTAAAACTAAGTCTAGCCTTGGTTTGGCTGCTTAGGGAACAATTTGCATTCAGGCAGGAAGCATTTCTACAACAGTTTAAAATGTAAATCATGGTGAAAACCTCTGTTTGATTATCAATTTTTACCTAACAGTACACTTCCCAGAAATATTCAGAAGCTCCAGAGAGAAGGGAGTTACAACTTAAGAGGGGACGGTGACTTTAAAGTTCAGTATAAAGTCCGGAGTTAAACCTCAGAATATAAGAAGGTGTTTGAGGGTCATGAGCATTGGTTCTGGATAACTAAGTATGATAATAGCCAAGTGTTTATCAGGATAATAACAGAAACATTATCGGTTAATACCAGTGGCCCTCAAAAGGCAGCCCGCGGGCCCCCGGACACCGCGGGCCCCCGGACACCGTGCGTCCAGGTCTTTATTTTTCTAAAAGGATTTTGTTTTGTAATTATTAAATGCAAACGTTGTCAACATCTAGAAGCTGTTCTGATCCATTTGGGTCAGTCAAAAACAGTTGATCAGTGATCTTATTAACTGAGCTCAACATAAGCTGCAGTCTGATCAGAACCAGAACCAGAACCGGACCTGTTCCAGAGCAAGAAACCAGGAAACAATCCACCCATTCGATCCGTACCAGAACCTAACTGAGTAGTTAAAGATCACTGACCATCAGCTCTCAGGTGTGCGGCTCCTTTAGTTTCTCTTTCTGTTGTTTAGTGTTTCCTGTTGATGCTGAGAGGAACGGGGCAAGACGGCGGCTGCTGCAGGCGGTCCTGCTGGGACGAAACCCTGACATGGACAGGTGAGATGATTAGACAGGTGATGAAGGTCACATGATCACAAAAATGTGTAGAACTGGATGTGTCAGATGTTGTTAGGGATGTGGGTCTCTGAGATAGAGGCCGATATTTACGTTTTTTCTATACCGGCCATCGGTCGAATCATTTTTAAAAGCCAATAAAAAAGGAAATAAAAGTCTGGCATCTGTGTGGCCCGAGAAGGACCCCAACACACCATTTTTTAAATGTTTTGAGTTTGTTTCATATGTGAAGTTCAATAAATATTAGAGATTTATTGACTTATTTCATTTACACTGCACACAGAGAGTGTTCAGTTGTCTTTTACAATCAGTGTGATGCTAAAACGTGCATCAGCCCTAATTGTCGGCTTTAGATATCGGCCATCTGCAACAAAATGATTTAAACATCGGTATCGGTGTTAGAAAAACCGTATCGGTCGGCCTCTACTCTGAGATATCAGTTTTGCCTGCTACACATCACACCTCAGTGCCCGAGTAATCACGCTGCTTCAGTTTTATAGAACTCACATCTTCATCCAAATGAATACATTCATGTGCTCATCAGCCTCTGAATGAATGTTTCTGATGCTGCAGCTGCTGCACTGTAACTGCTCACCCTTTAACCATCTTGCAGCTAAGTGTTTATAATCAGCTGTTTTATTATGTCACGCTGGTTTAAACGTTCTCGGGATGCATGCAGAGCTGCTTCTGTGTCTGAAATGTGCTACAGAAGGAGAGGAGGATCAGGGATCCGCAGATGGTTCGGAGACTAACAGACTCCAGGTGTTTCTGAACAGAATCCGGTTCATGGTGGTCAGCGAGCCGCCGGAGGAGGAGGAGCAGGAAAAGGAATGTGAGGATGTGGGTGTGGCCTACCTGAAAATACACGAGATGCTGGAGAACCAGGAGGACCTGATGGAGGCCAGCCTGATGGGTCAGTGCACAAACACACACACACACACACACACACACACACACACACGCATGCGTGCACACACACACACGCACGCACACACACACACGCATGCGTGCACACACACACGCACGCACGCATGCACACACACACACACCTACCTGTCTTTCTTTCTCCGCAGTGTGGGACCTGAATGATGGCAGTGAGGTTCTCGGCAGACTAACTGTGTCCGTAGAGGGACTGGATGTTCTGCGTGCCATCATGGAGGACCACAGCCTTGAGTGAACTTGTGACCGGTCCTATCCAGAACCTAGAAGGTCCAAACAGAAAGGGTTCATTCTGGATTCAGCTCCAGGCAGACTAGATCCAACGTGGACTTGGCAAACAGAAAATGTGATTTTATGTTTCTCTATAAGAACTTTTGCTTTTGATGGAATTGTTTATTCTTCTGAATTTGTTTTATTTCCTAAATGTAAATAAAAATAAAATCTTCTTTTCTAAGTAATAAAAGTGGATTTAGCTTTTGTGGGGCATACTGATGTGTGTGTGCGTCTGAGAGAGACGGAGGGAGTGTGTTTTACTTAGTGTAACTGGATGTCGGCTGCAGCTGACAGGCTGAACAAAGAGGAGAAGCAGGAGGAGGGGTAACAGGAGTTCTTTGGAGGTGGTCAGTCATAGCAGCAGTGGAAGGAGTGGAGCGAGTTCTTATGCAGCAGGTAAAACGAAGTCGTTCTACAAATGTTTCCATTTTTCAGTAAACAGGATTTAATGTTTTTGCTCCGTTTTGTCCTAAAAGCTCGGCCTCTTTCTCGTCTCCATGGAAACGGCCTGTTGATCAGAAGAGTGTCCAGGTGTTGGTGAATGTTGAATCAGCTGCTCTGACCTCAGGAACAGAAAGCAGTTCTGAGAAACAGGATGAGGTCAACTGAGGCCTGAAGATCTGAACTCCGATCAGGTTTCTGTCCCCAGCCTCCAACAGCCTTGGACAGAAGAGGTTGTGGTTATCTTCTGAGTTTTGGTCTGTGGGTGTTTTGTTGTGATTCTTCAGGGGGAACTCAAGACCGGCCGACACTCGTCTCATCCAAGCAGCCTCTAATTCAAGGTGAAGCTGATGTCTCCAGCGGTTAACCCGTCTATGTTCTTTCTGCAGCAGCATGAGTGTGGATGAAGATGCTCGCTGGCTGGAGTGGGTCACCAAACAGTTTGAAAGCATTGCTGGAGATGACAAAGAGATCAACCTCAATGAGTTTAAAACAGCCCTGAAAGTCAGAGAGGTGAGGAACGGCCATCAGCTTCTTCTGTAAAACTCACCTGTAGGAGGTTTGGTCCTCCGAGGTGTTAATGTGGAGTTTTACTGTAGATGTCCAACCACCTCCTTTATTGCATTCCCTCTGTGTACCATAGTAGGCCTTTTTCAGTGGAACTACTCAGCGTGACTCGGAAGGGTCGGTCTGGCCATCACGGGTTGTGCAGTAATCAAAAGGTTGCAGGTTCGATCCCGGTTTTGGACAGAGAATGCTGCTGTTGTGTCCTTGGGCAAGACTCCTAACCCACCTTGCCTGCTGGTGGTGGTCGGAGGGACCGGTGGCGCCAGTGTTCGGCAGCCTCGTCTCTGTCAGTGCGCCCCAGGGCAGCTGTAGCTACATCGTAGCTCATCCCCACCAGGGTGTGAATGGGTGAACGACTGATTGTGTTGTGAAGGGCCTTGGGGGGTTGTAGAATGCTAAGAAGGTGCTGTACAAATACAGGCTACTTACCATTTACCATGTCACAGAGCTGGCGGGGAAAAGCAACTACACTGAGGTGAGCTGAGTTAACTCATGCTGTACCGAGCTGCTTTAGGCTGAGTGGTGATGCTGGAAAAGGCGTTGTGTTTCTTTTATGTATCCTTTGCATACCCGATGTGTACTTGTTGTGTTTTCAGTCTTTCTTTGCCGAGCGGTTCTTCTCTCTGTTTGATTCGGACTCCAGTGGATCCATCAGTCTGGAAGAGCTTCTAAAAGCTCTGAACTTGCTGATCCACGGCAACGAGACCGACAAGCTGCGGTTCCTGTTTCAGGTCTATGATGTTGATGGTGAGTCCCAAACACACGAAGGTCAATCTGAACCTGCTCTACCTGCCTGCTTCTGATTCTGCTTGGATTCTACTGTAATGTAAATGAAATGTAAATTCAAATTGCTAACACTAGCATACAAAGTCCGAGATGGTACGGCTCCCATCTACCTGAATCCTCTTGCAAAGGCTTACGTCTCGGCCCGGCCGCTCCGGTCATCACAGGATCGTCTGCTAGCAGTGCCTACACCACGCTCAGGACAATCCAGACTCTTCTCATGCATCGTTCCACAAATGTGGAATGACCTTCCAAGCACCACCAGAACAGCGGCTTCCTTTTCAATTTTCAAGAATCTCCTGAAGACCCTGCTCTTCAGAGAGCATCTTCTAAACTAGCATCCTCCCTGCACCCGTCCCCCCTCTCTACTGTCCACTCCTTGCTCCCTCCTCTTCATGATTGATGTCAGGTTGTTGTTGTTATTGTTGTTGTTAACCTCAAGGGCAACATGCCAATCATCACTTGTAAGTCGCTTTGGACATAAGCGTCTGCTAAATACATAAACATAAACATAATGTTCTAACAGGCAGCGGTTCCATCGACCCAGATGAGCTGAAAACGGTTCTGAAGTCGTGTCTGTGTGAGAGTGCCATCTCTCTGCCAGAGGAGAAGCTGGATGACCTGACCCTGGTTCTGTTTGAGTCAGCTGATAAGGACAACAGTGGCTCCATCACCTTTGAGGAGCTTAAAGCAGAGCTGGAGAATTTTCCTGAAGTGATGGAGAACCTGACTATCAGGTGATTCTGGTTCTGCTTGACTATTTGACCCTCAGGAGATCCGTTCTCCTTAAACACAGGAACCTGCTGACTTGTGGTCTGTCTTCTCTTCACAGTGCTGCTAATTGGCTGAAGCCCCCAGATGCGGATCAGAAGAAGAATAAGACCCCTCGGTATCTGACTCTGACCTACTGGCAGAACAACAGCCGGAAGCTGCTGTTCCTGTGTTCCTATGCTCTCCTGAACCTGCTGCTGTTTATCGGCGCCGTGCTGCATCACAGCTATGGAGGAGGCTGGTTCATGCTGGCCAAAGGCTGCGGACAGTGTCTCAACTTCAACTGCACCTTCATCGTGGTAAGACTCTCAGCACCAGAACTTTAGATCCCATAAGCTGAAGACTCGTTAGTCCAACTAAAGAACCAGGATCAGCTTCTGGTACCAAAGATCCAGTTTGAACTGGTTCTACTGCTTAGAGAAGGCACAAGTCAGATAAACCTTCAGATGTTCAGCAGATCTGGAGAAGTAAAGTTCTGGCTCACAATAACGATGATGACAGAACGACACACCACAGTGCATTCTGGGAAGAAGGGAGTGTGTGAGGAATCCACAAACACACAAAGGTGACATAACAGCTTGCCATACTGCAGCCCGTTGATCCGCTCAGCTGATCAGAACCATCTTTAATCCTCTGCTGCTCTGAAGCAGACCTTCAGCCTCTGATTCAGCTAAACGGAGATGTGATTGATCTGGTTCAGTACTGCACCGGGTCAAGCAGATCAGGACAGTTGTGTGGATGAATGTGTTCATACACTTCATTCATCATGTATTCATGTGGAAATCTGGAACATCTGTGTGAGGAGGTCGCTCTGCTCTTCTGGAGAGATAGAATGCTCTCATTTCCACAGCTAGTCTGGACTGGACCCTCTCAGGTTCTGGTTCTGCTCAGTGAGACTACATCACACAGAGCAGCTGTGGCTACCATGCAGCTCACCGTCACCAGCAGAATGTGAATGAATGAGTGAATGAATAATGGATCCTCTGCTTCACAAAAATAATCCATTATTATTCATATGAGTGGGTTTTACCTGTGTGTGTGTGTGTGTGTGTGTGTGTGTGTGTGTGTGTGTGTGTGTGTGTGTGTGTGTGTGTGTGTGTGTGTGTGTGTGTGTGTGTGTGTGTGTGTGTGTGTGTGTGTGTGCATGCAGGTGCTGATGCTACGACGCTGTCTAACTTGGCTCAGAGCCACCTGGGTGGTCCGAGTCCTACCTCTGGACCAGAACATCCTGCTGCATCAGATTGTGGGCTATGCCATCCTATGCTTCACTGTCGTGCACACTGCTGCACACGTCGCTAACTTTGGTACACACACACACACACACACACACACACACACACACACACACACACACACACAGACTTGACTTTACGGCAGCGGCCCAAATCATCTCTGCAGAAACTGAAGGTGTTTTACTATTAAAGTCCTTGTGATTTGACTTGTGTTGACCTGGTTTACTGACGTGGACCCATCTTCTGATCTTGTGTGTCTCAGCCTGGATGTCACGCAGAGGGGAATTTGGGCTGTGGGAATACCTGCTGACCACCAGGCCCGGGATCGGTTGGGTGAAGGGGACGGCGTCGCTGACCGGAGTGGTGCTGCAGCTGCTGGTCTTTCTCATGGTGTTCTGCTCCAGCACCTTTGTCCGGCGCAGCGGACACTTTGAGGTCCGGGTCCAGAGAAGCTTGACCCAGATGAGTCTCGTCATAGGTTAGAGTTTGTATCTGTGATGGGTCCTGCTGCTTGTTCGGTCTGTTCCAGGTGTTCTACTGGACTCATCTGTCATACATCTGGGTTTGGATCCTCCTCATCATTCACTGTGCAAACTTCTGGAAGTGGTTTGTGGTGCCAGGTCTGGTTTTCCTGCTGGAGAAGATCATCGGAGTCGCCGTGTCTCGAATGGGAGGACTTTACATTGTTGAGGTCAACCTTTTGCCGTCCAAGGTGCTCAGAGCAAACGGAGTGGATCACAGGTTTGTTTGTTAAATGATCTTTAACAGGAAGCCATGTTTCTGCTGCATCTGCAGGTGACTCACCTGGTGATCAGACGCCCTCAGGTCTTCCACTTTAAACCTGGAGACTACATCTACATCAACATCCCTGAAATTGCCAAGTACGAGTGGCACCCGTTCACCATCAGCAGCGCTCCAGAGCAGTCGGGTACAGAACCCACCCGGACCATAACTGGGCTGGTACCATGGGTCTGTGCTGTTGAACAGAACAGACCAGATCTTCTGACTGATGAGTTAACAGCTGGCCTCAGTGGGGTCGGTCCTGAGCTGGACCGTCTCCTGTAATAAAAGATCAGGAGGCTCTGCTAGGTGTGTTTACTGGATTCATCGTGAAGGTCTCACCTGTCAGGGATCAATCAGCTGATCAGAGAACCTTCCAGAGTGCTTCTACAGATGTTTGTCTTCACATCTGCACTAATGTTGTGATGTTTACAGATCAAACTCCAAATGATGATAATAAGAATACCTTTATTAGTCCCTCAGTGGGGAAATAGCAGTATTGCAACAGCAAGAGTACAGTAAAGTAAAATGGAAGTAGGACACAATGATGATGATGAAAACCTCCAAATATCAGCTTAATCAGTGAATGGCCAAACTTCAAGTCAAAGCACGGATTTTTGGCAGGGTCTGTGAACTCACCATCACTAAGCACTAATTAATGTTAGCAACATGTGTTGTCATCATGGGACCCTTTGTACCTACAGCACCTGGGCCTGCAATGGAGGACATCAGCAGTAGCCTGCCTCTACTGGTTCAAGCGCAGTTTACCTGTCAGGTCAGGGGCCAGCTTTATTTGTAGAGTACATTTACCCAAAGTGCTTTAGAAGACACTGCAGCCACATAAACCGCCAAAATAAAACACATTCAGAAGTAAAAACATAGAGAAATATCAAAGAAATAATAAACCTGTAAATCAATTTAAAACCTACTAAGTCAATAAAACCACAGTAAAACTAGGTCAAAGGTTAAAGAATGGCTGCACACATCAACCAATGATAAAAGCCTGATCCTCCAAACTATGAGAGGTCCTCAGATGTAAGGGTAATCCCCTGGCACAATGTCCACACAGTACAGGCAAACCCTCCCACTGTCTTCATGGGTGACCCCGCGAGGAAAGTTGCCCACTGAGGTGGTGCTCACTCCTCACCCCTGCCAAGTGGACCCAAGGGATAAATCATCAACCCTGCTCAATGGTCAACTTTCCTCGCTGGCTCACACCCATTAGGACAGTGGGAGGGTTAAAGTAGAAGTTTGTCCAAATAAACCTATAAAGACAAGTACACTGTCACACACACACACACAAGGTGACTACACGACTATTTAAAAGTTCCAGAGATCAGGCTATTTCAAATCTCTGAGAACAGTATATGTTAACATATTACCACTGGAACTATTGAGATGTCCTTTTATCTTCAAGTTAGAATATGGAACATTTTAATAAAAAGCTATATTTAAAAAAAACAATACCTCCACGGGCTGGTCAGAGGTGAGCAGAATCGATGTACAGTTTCCCCTTTTAAAGCTATATTTAAAAAGATAAATAATCACATTTTTATTCTGTCGGGTACAACACTGTGTTTATGTTTACATCTACCAGCCACTAGAGGGCACCTTTGCACTAAAAAGTCAACTGAGTCTTAGGCGATTCAATCATTGTATTTGGTTTGGTAGTCTAGCGCAGTGGTTGCCAAACTTATGACTCGTGGACCCCCTGAACCCTAACCGTAACCTCTGTAGTAATGTATAAACATGGTATGGTATAGTATGGTGGTATGGTATAGTGTGGTATAGTATAGTATGGTGGTGTGGCATAGTGTGGTGGTATGGTATGGTATGGTATGGTATGGTATGGTGGTGTGGTGGTATAGAATGGTATGGTATGGTGGTGTGGTGGTATGGTGTGGTATAGAATGGTATAGTATGGTGGTGTGATAGTGTGGTATGGTAAGGTATGGTATGCCATGGTGGTATGCTATGGTATGGTATAGAATGTTATGGTATGCTATGCTATGGTGTGGTATAGAATGGTATGGTATGGTATGCTATGGTGTTATGGTGTGGTGTGGTATAGAATGTTATGGTATGGTATGCTATGCTATGGTGTGGTATAGAATGGTATGGCATGGTATGGTATGGTATGCCATGGTGGTATGCTATGGTATGGTATAGAATGTTATGGTATGGTATGCAATGGTGTGGTATAGAATGGTATAGCATGGTGTGGTATGGTATGGTATGCTATGGTGTTATGGTGTGGTATGGTATGGTATGCCATGGTGGTATGGTGTGGTATAGAATGGTATGATATGGTATGCTATGGTGTGGTATAGAATGGTATAGCATGGTGTGGTATGGTATGGTATGCTATGGTGTTATGGTGTGGTATGGTATGGTATGCCATGGTGGTATGGTGTGGCATAGAATGGTATGGTATGGTATGCCATGGTGTGGTATAGAAGGGTATGGTATAGTATGCTATGGTGTTATGGTGTGGTGTGGTGTGGTATGGTATGGTGTGATAATGAAAAAGATCTTGGTGTCTGTGGAGTGTTTTTATGTGCAGGAGGAAGTTCTGAAGTTGGTTTCACAGCTGGAGTGTGATTTCAGCCTGACTTTGTGATCTTTGACCCTCAGAAACCCTGTGGCTCCATGTGCGCTCCATGGGCCAGTGGACCAACCGTCTATATGAGTACTTCAGGCAGCCGGAGAGCCAGATGTTTCGTCAGAAGATCCTGAGTAGCAACCTGAGAAAACGCCGGCAACAGGAGGAGGTGCAGACAGGGACACATGGTCCTCTGAGGGACCTCCTGCAGCAGAGCCTCTAAGTTTTCTGTATGTTTTCAGAGGAAAAAGACGTTCTCCTCAGATTCTTACGGAACTGTGGCATATAACCAGGACAGATCCATCCAGCTGATGAAGTTCTGTCAAAATGGCCCACTGTCTGGAACAGATCCAAACATGGAGTCAGGAGATCAAAAAAACCCAAGACCTCCCCTGGATCAACCAGAGTCAGCAGAGAGAGGAGAAGCCCCTCAGCTTAGAGAGGTACAGAGATCTGGAGATCAACTCCATCCTAGTTTGGTTAGAGGTGAAGCTCAAATGTTTTTCTGTTTGGTGTTTTTACCTTCAGGTTCCTGCAAACCACCTGTTCTGCTACATCAAGGTAAAAGTCCCTCTCTTCTGTGCTATAGACCACTTGACAGGTGATGTCACGTGCCCCCACCCCACCCCCCAGCCCCTGGCTGGAGGGCGATAAGCCGACACCTCCCAGTTGGTCATGGTTGTGTTTATTTGTTAGTTGTGAATAAACTGACCTAAATTGCAGCTAAATGAAAGCTGTCGTCATGGTTAGCACACACAGAGCTGCAGGCTGCACAAGTAGATGATAGAAGGTCAGAAAATGTAAAACTTTACAGGCTTCCAGCTGATAAAACATGCTGAAGGCCATGGTTAGCAGCCAGACAGTTCTAGTGGATAAACCACCCCTTCGTGGCAGATGAAGTCCCACGGCAGAATAAAAAAGTCAAATATCTGCCCCACATCCAGGCACAAAAGAAGTTCTAGCCATGTAGAAGAAGAAGAAGCATCAAGGAGGAGAGCTGTGTTCCTGATTATTTCTGAGAAATAAACGTGTAAAAATGACCACGCTGTTGTGGTGTGTAGTTCTGTGTGACCCGCGGTAACGCTCTTGTTACAACAATCACACAAATTGTGTTGTGCAATTGTAGCGGGCAGCCTATAGTGTTGTTCGTTTGTGTTTCTATTTACGATGCTCATAAACGGAGAATCTGTCTTATTCTTCAAAGACAAGCGGCGTCACGGCAACCGTTCAGCATGAGCTTGCAAAATGTAGAAGAGATCCGGTTGCTCCTTCGCTGCTTCTGCTGTGTGACGTCTAGGCAGTCGTTTCTGAGGGCACCCCCTCAGCACATTAAATGTGAATGGTCTGTGTTTGTTTAGCGCCTTCTAAGGGTTCTACAACCCCCCAAGGCTCTTCACAACACAATCAGTCATTCACACATTCACACGCTGATGGTGATGAGCTACGATGTAGCCACAGCTGCCCTGAGGCGCTGACAGAGGCGAGGCTGCCGAGCACCACCAGCAGGTATGGTGGGTTATTTGTCTTGCTCAAGGACACAACAGCAGAATTCTCTGATCGGAGCCGGGATCGAACCTGCAACCTTCCGATTACTGGACAACCCGCTCTACCTCCTGAGCTGCTGCTGTCGTTAGCTATTTCAAATGGATCTGGAAGTTGAACGCCGTAAACTTTGAGATGTTCCTCTTCTGTTCTTCTGCACAAAGATGTGTTGGATGATCTAGAGCAGTAAGATCTACATCCCTGGTTTATTTAGTTAGCTTATTGTGGAGATAAAGTTCTGGAGAACTGGAGACAGGTTTCTTGTCCTCCAACATTGTGTGGATGTGTGCAGGTATCCGGATGTAAACAACAGCTTTCAGTGGGTCTATATCACCTTCTGTACCACCTCACCCTCATAGTGGTTACTATGGCAACAATAGAGGTGAATTCTGTGAACTTTTCACAGATGACCATCTGTGTGTGTGTTTGTTTGTCTGCGTGTGTGTGTGTGTGTGTGTGTGTGTGTGTCTGTGTGCGTGCGTATCCCAGTGTTATGTAGATGGACCATATGGAACTCCGACTCGGCAGATCTTTGCCTCCGAACATGCGGTCCTGATCGGAGCAGGAATTGGGATCACACCTTTTGCCTCCATCCTACAGAGCATCATGTACAGGTTAGAACCTGTTTCTCTGGTCAGTCACTCAGGTGAGCTTACCTTTTACCAGGTATTGGTTTGTCTCAGGTACCACATGAGGAAACACAACTGTCCCAGCTGCAGCTACTCCTGGTGTGAAAACATCAAAGATAATGACATGAAGCTCCGCAAAGTGAGAAGCCTTCTTTCTGTCCTGATCTGACCCGCCGACCCAGACAGCTGACCCATTTTCTCTCCAGGTCGACTTCATCTGGATCAACAGGGACCAGAAATCCTTTGAATGGTTTGTCAGTTTACTAACCAAACTGGAGCTGGAGCAGGCTGATGAGGAGCCAGATGGTAATAAATTAATTATTAAATCAATAGAAACATTTTAGTAGGGATGTCCAGATCAGGAATCTGACTTTAACTCCCGACTTGTACTCGGATACAGGGTTCAAACTACGGGTACAGTAATTTATCAGAATGTAATATTTACATATCTGATGCCGTTAACACAGAGACAAAAATATAGTTTATAACCGTTCATTAATAAATTTCTATTATCAATCATGATGAAAGGTAAATGATTATAACTGGTGATTCACGGTGATACTAAATGAGACCGTGAATGAACTCTGATGAAACATGACCTTGAGCTTCTCTAAGTGACTGATACCGTTCAGATTACCTTCAAAACACAGTCCCACACCCAGGGCCGTATCAAGGCATTTTGGGGCCAAGGCAAAATAGACCCCTGCTGGGTATTTTAGGTTGAGGTGCTGTTTCTTTTTATATTAGACTTTTTTTTATATTTCTCGACCGGAAAAGGGTGGCTTGCCAACTCCGGGTCGGGGGAGAAGTCCTACCTCAAGTGGAGGAGTTTAAGTATCTCGGGGTCTTGTTCACGAGTGAGGGTAGGAGGGATCGGGAGATCGACAGGCGGATTGGTTTGGCGTCTGCAGTGATGCGGACGCTGAGCCGATCTGTCGTGGTGAAGAGGGAGCTGAGCCAGAAAGCCAGGCTCTCGATTTACCGGTCCATCTATGTCCCAATCCTCACCTATGGTCATGAGCTTTGGGTAATGACCGAAAGAATGAGATTGCGGATGCAAGCGGCCGAAATGAGTTTCCTCCGTAGGGTGGCCGGGCTCAGCCTTAGAGATAGGGTGAGGAGCTCGGACATTGGGGAGGGACTCGGAGTAGAACCGCTGCTCCTCCGGATCGAAAGGAGCCAGATGAGGTGGTTTGGGCATCTGGTCTGGATGCCTCCTGGACGCCTACCTGGGGAGGTGTTTCGGGCACGTCCTGCCGGCAGGAGGCCCCCCGGGTTGACCCAGGACACGTTGGAGAGGTTACATCTCCAATCTGGTCCGGGAACGCCTTGGGGTCCTGCCGGAGGAGCTGGTGGAGGTGGCCGGGGAGAGGACGGTCTGGAGCTCCCTAGTTGGGATGCTGCCCCCGCGACCCGGATAAGCGGAGGAAGACGACGACGACTTTTTTATATTTGCACTAAAGTCCAAAAGTGAAGCACTGATGTTTTTTATTACTGAATTTTTCAAACTACCCCACAGAAGCCCTCTGTTTGTTAAAGAGTTTTCAAAAGGAAGTTAATTCAATAAAAAATAAGGAATATTCCAGATCTGTTTGTTTTTCTTTTTTTATGTATGATTGAAGGATCGGATCAGGACTCGGTATCGGTAGATGCTCAAAATCAAATGACTCGGACTCTGGCAAAAACACCTGATCGAGACATCCCTACTTTTTAGTCCACTCAAGGCCACCTTGTCATAAAATATAATAACAGTGACAGCAAAGTGAAAGTGGTTCTGGAGGCGGTACTGGTACTGGTTTATGTGTTCCACAGTTTATTACCTGATAGCTTCCAGCTACTTGAGTTACACCTGATGAGGTGTGTGGGGTCCCTGGTTCACAGCAGGTCTATTCAGACACACTTGAGCTGTGGACCTGAAGGATATGTCGCTGGTTTCTGATCAGTTTATAACTGCTGCTGCTTGACAGGTCGCTTCCTGGAGATGCACATGTACATGACATCAGCGCTTGGTAAGAATGACATGAAGGCCATCGGCCTGCAGATGGCCCTGGACCTCCTGGCTAAGAAGGAGAAGAAAGACTCCATCACCGGCCTGAGGACCAGAACCCAACCGGGCCGACCCCAGTGGGAGAAGGTGAGGAATTGCCTTTCATCTCATCAGTCATGGTTGCTGCCTTTGGTTTGGCACAGCTGGAGAAATGGCCACTCACACACACACACACACCCTGATGGTGAGCTACATCACAGATGTTCTGGGATGCACCGACAGAAACTACTGGTCCCTCCACCAACCACCAGCAGCTGGTGGGTGAGGTGGTGGTGAAGGTTCTTGCCCAAGGCCACAATGTTTGAACCTGCAACCCAGCAGCCACAGGGTGAACTCCTGACCCTGAAGCCAACATTCTGAAGGACAAACATCACACCCTGGTCAGCATCACTTCACCTCAGGTTTGTTTGTAACGAGTAACACAGATCTCCGATCAGATTCAGACCTTAACTCCTGCAGCAGGTTTATGAGAGCTGATGTTCTGGATCCACCCTCTGTATCATGTCTCAGAAGACATCCTCCATCATGCTGCAGGAACCATCTCAAACCAACACTCCTGCTGTTGTTCAAATATGTTATTTATCTTCAGAGCATCTGGGATGATCTTCATCAACTGCAGGTTGAATAATCGTGTGTGTGTGTGTGTGTGTGCGCGCGTGTGTGTGTGTGTGTGCGCGTGTGTGTGTGTGTGTGTGTGTGTGCGCGCGTGTGTGTGTGTCAGGTGTTTCAGAAGCTCTCTGAGGAGAACAAAGGGAAGGTGCACGTGTTTTACTGCGGTGCTCCATCTTTGGCTAAAGCCATTAAACATCAGTGTGAACGCTTCGGCTTCAAGTTCTACAAAGAAAACTTCTGAGGGACCAAAGCATGAGAGGACAAACCCAGGAGGTCAAGACTGGACCTTAACTGGTCCAAAACAAGCTCCTCAGAAACCCTGAGTTAAAATCAAAGTTGTGGTCAGAGTTCTGAGAGTGGTTGGGTGATCATGATAGAGAGGGTTGGAGTGAGTCATGGGGGTGATGGTAATTAGTTATACTGTGGTTAGAGTTGGTTAGGGTTAGTTATGCCATGGCTAGTGAGGGTTAGCTAGTTATACCATGGTTAGTGCTGGTTAGTTAGTTATACCATGGCTAGTGTGGGTTTGTTTGTTACACCTTAGTTAGTTAGTGAGGGTTTGTTAGTTATACCTTACTTAGTTAGTTGGTGAGGGTTTGTTAGTTATTCCATAGTTAGTTAGTTATATCATGGCTAGTGTGGGTTAGTTAGTTATACCATGGTTAGTGAGGGTTTGTTAGTTATACCTTACTTAGTTAGTTGGTGAGGGTTTGTTAGTTATTCCATAGTTAGTTAGTTTGTTAGTTATATCATGGCTAGTGTGGGTTAGTTATACCATGGTTAGTGAGGGTTTGTTAGTTATACCTTACTTAGTTAGTTAGTGAGGGTTTGTTAGTTATTCCATAGTTAGTTTGTTAGTTATATCATGGCTAGTGTGGGTTAGTTAGTTATACCATGGTTAGTGAGGGTTTGTTAGTTATACCTTACCTAGTTAGTGAGGGTTTGTTAGTTATTCCATAGTTAGTTAGTTTGTTAGTTATACCATGGCTAGTGTGGGTTTGTTAGTTATACCTTAGTTAGTTAGTGAGGGTTTGTTAGTTATTCCATAGTTAGTTAGTTAGTTAGTTATGCCATGGCTAGTGTGGGTTTGTTAGTTTTACCTTACTTCGTTAGTTAGTGAGGGTTTGTTAGTTATACCTTACTTAGTTAGTTAGTGAGGGTGTGTTAGTTATTCCATAGTTTGTTAGTTATATCATGGCTAGTGAGGGTTAGTTAGTTAGTTAGTTAGTTAGTTAGTTAGTTAGTTAGTTGGTTAGTTAGTTAGTTATACCATGGCTAGTGTGGGTTTGTTAGTTATACCTTACTTAGTTAGTTAGTGAGGGTTTGTTAGTTATTCCATAGTTAGTTAGTTAGTTATACCATGGCTAGTGTGGGTTAGTTAGTTATACCATGGTTAGTGAGGGTTTCTTAGTTAGTTAGTTAGTTAGTTAGTTATGCCATGTGTAGCGTTGGAAAAGAACAACAAGGTTATTTATCTACTGTAATGTAAAAGGTCACCAGACATTGATTTCCACAGCCTGCTCCATTAAGGGTTAACTGTGTGCTTTTCACCTCAAGGCTGTCTGTAACCTTCATGAATTCCTTCTCTTGACTCCGTTATCTGAGCTGCAACTCCAAGGCCCACGCAGAAGACGAGACTTTACACTTTGAATAAAGTGATTCTTAGTTTGGTCTCATAATGATTTATTTCAATCCACAGGTTGTTTACATCACATTCTGTGTTATCTACAATGAATGTTCTATCTAAAGTCATGTAATAGTTATTAATTATTATCAGTTACATCCACATAATATCAGTATGCTAACAAATGAGTGTTTAACAGATGTACTTCATATTAAGCGGAACCAGCCTCTTCTGAATGTCTGAAGAATGTGTGACGTCCGAAGGTCTTGGTAAACACCTAGACACATTTATCAGATCTGATTGGTCAAAGTTTATAAACAAGCACTTCTTAAAAGTGAACTCACTTCCGGTTTTCCCCAGTTCAGCCAGAGCTCAGGCTAAGTGACTATCCTGTGGGGAATAAACCAGATTATTCAGTGGAATAATTTTGGCAGCTTAAAGAACCTTCCTAGTTTTTTTTATCAATCAATTATTATTTGCTCAATCCACCACCCACTCATCGGATGTGAAACCATCCACCAGAAGCCACCTGGGGAGTACCTTCTGACCAGTCGTGCATACGCTGAGGGTTTCTACGACCTTCAGATACATCAGAAGTCCACGCACTCGCTCTGAGAGACGGATCCAGACCAGATCCTCGAGAACGTCCACTATCCTGGTGCGCTGGCTCCACGATGGCATCAGAGTGGTTGATATTAATTTGATAACTTGTATAATTACATCAAACAAACAGCCAAATGTATTTTATAATCCCAGACATCACACCTTTCTGAGACACTTAGAGAAGCTCAAGGTCATGTTTCATCAGAGTTCATTCATTCTGTCATTTAGTATCACTGTGAATCACCAGTTATAATCATTTGTCTTTCGTCATCATTGATAGAAATATAGTAAAAAAAATTGTTATAAACTATATTTTTGTCTCTGTGTTAAATTATTATAAAGTGTTGTTTCCCTGGATTAACTAAAATGCCCAGTTTCATCAGCAATGGAATATTAAATGCTCAATAATATTGATAATATATATTTTTATGGAATATTACATGTTATTAAATACCTTTATATTCTGTTGACAATTTATTACAAGTAACCATTTACAAATCATTGCACATGGTTAGTGTGGGTTATAGTTAGTTATACCATAGTTAGTGTGGGTTATAGTTAGTTATACCATGGCTAGTGTGGGTTATAGTTGGTCATACCATGGCTAGTGTGGGTTATAGTTAGTTATACCATGGCTAGTGTGGGTTATAGTTGGTTATACCATGGCTAGTGTGGGTTATAGGTTATAGTTAGTTATACCATGGCTAGTGTGGGTTATAGTTAGTTATACCATGGCTAATGTGGGTTATAGTTAGTTATACCATGGCTAGTGTGGGTTATAGTTGGTTATACCAATCAATCAATCAAAGCTTTATTTATAAAGCGCCTTCCGCAACCCTGTCAGGAAGCCCAAAGCGCTGAACATGGTACAGTTGTAAGTAATTATACGGAATAAATCAACAATAAAAGAAATTCAAATTACCAAATACAAATTACAAAATACAAAATGGAAATTACAAGATAGATGAAACATTCCGGTAAAATACAAATGTGTGAAACACAATTGGATTGAGTGGATGGATTGAGTGTACCAATGAAAACTGTGGAATGGATTCAACATAATAGAGGGCCATAATCAAACATGTTCTGGAAACGCCAAGCGGAGGAGGTGTGTTGGCTAGCCAGGTGTACCATGGCTAGTGTGGGTTATAGTTGGTTATACCATGGCTAGTGTGGGTTATAGTTAGTTATGCCATGGTTAGTGTGGGTTATAGTTGGTTATACCATGGCTAGTGTGGGTTATAGTTGGTTATACCATGGCTAATGTGGGTTATAGTTAGTTATACCATGGCTAGTGTGGGTTATAGTTGGTTATACCATGGCTAGTGTGGGTTATAGTTGGTTATACCATGGCTAGTGTGGGTTATAGTTAGTTATGCCATGGTTAGTGTGGGTTATAGTTGGTTATGCCATGGTTAGTGTGGGTTATAGTTGGTTATGCCATGGTTAGTGTGGGTTATAGTTGTTTATACCATGGCTAGTGTGGGTTATAGTTGATTATACCATGGCTAGTGTGGGTTATAGTTGGTTATACCATGGTTAGTGTGGGTTATAGTTAGTTATACCATGGCTAGTGAGGGTGTTACGGCCATGGCCGATTGTGTCTTCTGTGGTTCCCTGTCTTGTGTCTCTTTGTGGTGCTGCACCTAAAGAGTCTTCTGTCCTTCGGCAACGCACCTCAGACGTTCAGAGAAGCTGTTCGTCAGCACCTCACTGTCCGGTGCCCTATGCTGCGCTCACCTCCTCCAGCTCTACCTGACACTGCCCTGCATCACAGCTGCACATCACACAACCACATCAGTGGCAGCAAGAAGACGCCATGAACATAAAAGACTTCTGGAGCAGATCATCAGGGAGCAACAGTACTGAGCTTCCTCTTCTCTGACCTGTTGACTCCTCAGCTCCTACGGGTGTTTGTTAATCAAATCAAAGATACTTTATTAATCCCAGAGGGAAATTAGAGTTTCAGTACACACAATTCAGAGATCAGACATGCATGGGCAAGACACATGACAAGAATTGGTGACTGTGGTCATTCGCATTCCTGAGTCGCGCTACCTTAATAGAGATAAGAGGGGTTACATGAGGATTGGTTCAGGTGGAGAGAAAAAAAGGCACTTCAGAGTTACCCTCCATCAGGAGGGCCGCTTTGCTCTGCAAAAAAATACCTCAAACATATATGCAACAGACTTCAGACAAAACAACATAAGTGTTCACCAGGTGGGGTGATGGGTTGGGACTATCCACACTTCAGTTCCTGCAGCCACGATAGAAGCAGCGCATGTCACCTCAGTCTGAACAGGGGGAGGAGCATTGAGGGTTGCATTGACCCTGGAACATTTCAGTGGCCTTCCCGCAGTCCCGCCCAGGCTGGGCAAGGAGACAGAGTTGAGTTGCCATAGCGACGGCACATTCCAGAGTTTTCGTTGGAGCCTTGCTGGCTCAAGGACGCCAGATTCCAATTAGAAATTGTTTTGGGGCCAGACAGAGATAATTTCCTCTCTGTCTTAAAGTTCCTTGGTCCTCAACCTCTCAAAATCCCAATAATGGACATTAATCTATCCCAATCCGTGCTGATTCGTCCACTCTCTCCTTGATGGCATCCATCTTTTGTGCCAATAATGAATCTCCGCCAAAGTCCCAAGCTTACAATTCATCTGGACAATTATGTGAGTCTGTGAATTCACAGCGCGGTGCAAACCATCTCTGAGCTCCGGGATCAGGCCAATATTCCTCGACAGCTCGTTAATTTTCCGGTAAGCCAGGTAGCCTCCAAGGCCAATGAGCAGGAAACCTGACACCAACACCATGAATATCCACACATCTTCAGATTCCTCCACAGACAGCTTAGTTAAACAAATCAAGTTCCACTGTTTCCAGGAATCCATGATGTGTCCAACTGGGTCTGTCACGGCAGGGCATCCGGGAGCCCCTTCTCCTGTTCTCATCGTTGAAAAATTTTTATCAATCGCGTTGAGAGACCAACTGACGAGATCCATTTAAGTGAATTTCAGTTTCCAGAAAAATACAGAAGCAGCCGTGCACCCAGCACACACAGACAGACAAAGGCCTTGAGGATAAGACATGGTGAACAGGAGGAAAAAAGCGTCTGCACCCTCCAAGAGTCGGGTGTCAGTCAGTGTTGTGTGTTCCCATTAAACAGACTCAAAGTAGTCTGATGTTTAAAGTGAGTTTAGTGTGGATAGTTAAATTACAGATAAGTGGCTTCAGACTCAGGAGTCTCGTGTTAATTAGAAGTATTAGTTTGGTTACAAGGTTTTGTGATTAAAAGACATTTTTTTCCTCCGAAAGTTGTTGAACCCTCATTTAATCTGTACATCTGCAGTGGTTTCTATTAGGAATGAACGCCTTGTAAATCGTACTCCAAGGGAAAATCACTGGTGCACCATTTTCAGGAAATGGTAGTGAGCCTCATACAGCTGAGCTTCAGATGACAGGATCTGGAGTCTTATTTCCTGATGTGTGGACATCTCTCCTCTGATTGGCCAACAGCAACACGACTCTACCACTTCTACTAGCTGAGACGTTCTCTGCTGTTTCCTGGACTAAACCAACAACAGCCTTCCCCGTCGTGAGTCCAGATGGGTGAATCCATGAATGTTAGTGACAGTGTGATGTAGATCTCTCAGGATTTTCTAACCCTAGAGTTTCACCGTCTGGGGGATCACGTAGGTGTGGCGCTGGAATTTCAGCCGTTGTGCAGTGCCACGCCTGAGTCTATGTAGGGAGAACACTGCACTGCCAACTGATTGGCTGGTTCAAATTCAAGCCTGCCTTTAGGGGGAGTCTCCAATCGGCAGGTAGAATCAGGCAGCGGGGCTTCCCATAGAGGGCAACACCATCCTCTGCTGCCCGCAGATAAAAGGAAGTGGCGCCACCATCACCAGCGATCTCTGAGGATGGCTAGAGCTACTAGCTGTAACATGTCAGGTAAATAAATAATTTTTACTAAACTTTGTAAGAAAAGAACAAAAAATGGATTACGGACCAAAACACAGTAGGAACAAAAAGGGCTTCCTGCATGTGAGATTCATCTTCATTCTGGATACTGAGGAGTAAACATTTCCTCTGACTGAAGCCGTCTCTGTCTCTCTCACTGAGACTGCTGTGAGGAGCACACACACACACACACACACACACACACACACACACACATACACACACACACACAGCAGTCTAGATGCAATATCAGCATCTCCGAAAGCAACACTGTCTTTGTTAATTAATTATTAATTAAGTAAAATTAAAGTCCCATTAGTTGTCACACACACTTATGTGTGTGTGTGATGTGAAGTGTGTTCTCTGCATGTGACCCATCCTCAGGGGGAGCGGTAAGCTGCAGACACAGCTGCGCTCAGGAACTATTTGGTGGTTTAATCCCCCAATCCAACCCCTAATGCTGAGTATTAAGCAGGGAGATGTTGGGTCTATTTTTTAAAAGTCTTTGGTATGACCTGACCAGGATGTGAACCCATGACCTCCCAGTCCCAGGGCGGACATTCATACCACTAGGACACTGAGCTGGTAGTTTAATAGCACCATGTACTTTTCCACTCATCTTTATCCCGCCCACGTTCTCAGAGATTCCAACGTTCCTGAAAAGTGTGTCCAAACAACCCCCCCCCCCCCCCCCCCCCAGCCCGGGCAGGACCAGGCCAGATGTGGAAGTGGCATTGGCTCCCACTCTGTTATTGAAGTCATTTAAAAATTCTTTTATGTATTTATAAACGCCTAAATGGTCGTGAGCTGTGCTATCTGTCTGACCTGCTGATGGCACACACCCCTTTGCAAACTTACGTCAGCTGATCGCAGTCTGCTGACGAAGCTTTGGTCCCAGATCTGCAAACTGATTCACTTACGGTCACTCACCTGCTTTGTGTTTGACCAAAATAGTAGATTTTTCTGCAAATGTTGTGTCTCGTATGGTTTATTTATCATTTAGCATGTGTGTTTACTGTACAGCACTTTGGTACACATTGTTTTTAATCAGTGCTTTATAAATAAACTGAATTTCTATTTTAATATCTATTAATACCAACACAACAAAGCATAAAAATGTGAAGTGGAGTGAAACTGTGCTGCAAATACACACACTTCAGATTTTAACTACTTAGATTTTTGAAAACCATGTATCCATTTCATTCCACTTCACAATGTTGAGCTACTTTGTGTTGGTTTTTCACAGAGCATCTCAATAACAAACATTTACGTTCATGGTTGGAAGGTGTCATAATGTATAAAAGTTCAAGGAAAAGCAGCTGGTTGGCGAGGGAACCAGGCTGGTACTCAGGTTTGTGCAAATGTATATTTTGTTATGTTTCAAGGATAAAGTATAAACAGCAGATATACGGTCTATTCAGAGAGATTTAGGCCAAAAGGTAGCCTGGCCTGCCAGACTCGTCCTCTGTTTAATTCTGCAGTTTAATTCTCTGTGCAGAATAAAACAGAGGAGTCTGGCAGGCCAGGAATCCAATTGGTAGAGACAAACAAACAAACAAACAAAAAAAAGAATTTGCAGGAAGATGTGAATGTGATTCCTACATTCATGTAGTTTTAAAAATCTTATTAAGTAATTAAAATATTTAGAGTGCGTTACTCACATTGAATAACTCCTTACAAATCACATTTTGGGGCGTGGTTTCTGTACTCTGTGGAATGCATTTTAAAAGTAACCTTTTCAGCACTGCCTGATCTGGCCACAGTGAGTCTATCTATAATAAAAAAACGTTAGTGCACATGTGTTTGATCACGGTTTTATTTCTGACATTTTACCAAATATTCAGCGTTTGAAGCCCAAGAAGCACCTGTTTCTAGGGGGTTTAAATCAATAGAAGAGCATCTCAGTGTGAAGGATAAATAAATACATTGGATTTGTCATCGGGTTTAGTTGTGTAAATCAGAATTAGCAAATCCTTTTTTTTACTTAAACTGTTTGATATCCACAGTTGATATTTATACATAAAATGATCCGTTGATCCAACTCGGTGCTCTGTTAATAAACCTGCGCAGCTGCTTGTTAGCAGCTAACTGGTTACGCAGCATCGTCTTTAGGCAGCTAATCAAACATCGGACCAAAGCCTAAAAACACCCTAGATTACTTTTCCTTTTATGAAAATGAACGTTTCCCGCTGACTTCAGCGGACGGTGCTCGGTTGAACAACAGTGAGACGCGGATGTTACCGTTAAAGATTTAGTTTTGTTAGCAGCCGCATTTCCCATTTTTGGCCGAACTAGCTAAGGAGCTAACCGAAGATAGCCTGTTAGCGTCTGTTGATGGCGGAGCTGCGGAGCCGATTTTAAAGAAAGGTAAGTCAAAGTATCTGCGCTTTCATTGCAGGATTTCATACGTGAAGTCCAACTGTTTGTAGTAAAACATGTTTTATATCTGAAGCCAAAATATCTGCGGCTTAAATGTACTAATATGTAAACAGAGCTGTGATCTCTACAGGTTAAATACTGAAAATGTCTGCAATCTACAACGTAAGGATGTATTTGAGCCTGGAGAGGAATAATCAGACTGAAACCTGAAATAGTTAAGGGTTGTTTGTGCAATCACAAGTTGGATAACGCACTAGCTATGTAAGTGTCGGGTTTTGAGATGGTGAGTTACTGGTTAGATCAGGGTTAGTTACAGGGTAGGGTTAGGCCTCATTGTTTGGTGGTTTCTGTCTCTATTAACAGGTAACAGTTGATTTATACAGAAGAGAAAAGGTAGAAAAACACTCAGAAACACTTTAAAATGCTCAAACATTTCAGAAAGTCTGTCTGAGGTAACATTTTAAATCATTTTCCATCTTTCAGGTTAGTGTTGAACCCACTCATTACTTTTTCATCGTACTTTATTTTGATCGACATACATACTACGCTACCTGTCAAAAGATTTAGAACGTCCCAATTTTTCCAGTTTTTATTGGAAATGATGCAGTTTAATGTCACATTGCACTCTCAAATTAAAGCATGGTACAAATAAGCAATTGTAGTTAATAAAGAAATCATGGAATAAATCAGGTAGTCAGGTCGTGTTTCTTTCATCTTTGCCGGCTGGCCAAACTAAAATCTGTCCTGAACAAAAAATATCTTCAGTCAGGTGTTCATGCTTTTGTACACGTCTGGACTATGCCAATTCTCTTTTATATGGTGTTCCCTCCTCTTCAGTGGTACGCCTCCCAATTGGTACAGAATGCTGCTGCAAGATTTCTTACGTATACATATATATACGTATACATGTATATACATACATACATACATACATACATACATACATACATACATATATATGTATGCATATGGTATCACACAATGAGCTAGCGGTTTCAGAACAATAGAAAATAAAACAGATTAAAGTGTTTAAAATAAACAGTTCCCAGAATAATGGTGCAAAATAGTGGCTGGTCGAGGTAGAATCTTCAAGTAAAAACAAATCACAAAGTAAAGCACACTACCAAATTGTAGTATAAAATACTATCTAAACTATACATAAAAATATGCAAACCAAACCTAACAGTAGATTCCACTCAGAAGTAAAATTTTGTTAGATTTAGATAAGTGAGGGAACGCATTTTGTAGCTAACAAGCTCCATCGTTCTCTTGATCTGGAAGCAGTACGCTTAGCTTTAGCTTAGCATAAAACTGTGAGTAAAAGGAAGGTTCTATGCTAGAATTGTGGTGGCAGTGGTGTACAAATGTGCCTGATTTTTGAAATGTTTGAATTGGTTTTTAAAAACAACTTTGGCCAACAGAGAACAAACTGAATATATCGCCCGGCCACTAATCAAAACAACAATACTCGACTACATGAGCAGAAGCAAAAACAGCGTAACAGAGAGGCTTGTTAGCATGGCTTCTCTTCTTCATCCACCTTTTCTTACAGAATATATCAGTGAGAGCGAAGCCATCAAAGTTCAGGTCATGCGTGAACTAGAATGTCATGCCAAGGTAGCACAGCCACAGGTGTTTCAGAAACGCCTCCTACACCTGCTGTAGACCAAACAAGTCAGGGAGCTGCTAAAACGCCAAAGAAGAGTCTCAGGAGCTTTTTGAAGGGACCTGTTAGTGGCAAGACAGATGTAACTGCAGATGAACTTCTATGAATAGCCCACCAGTCAGTGTGATCCTGTTTTGTGATGGAAAGTTCACACTGCAAACTTTCCCAGCATCAGCAGATTAGCTAAGAAATACCTCTGCACTCCAGCAACCAGCTCTGCATCTGAAAGGTTGTTCGGCACAGTTGGAAGTTGCCAGCGGTCCTCCCTTAAGCCCACATCTATAAACATGTTGGTGTGACAAAGAAAACTTCAAAGTTGAGATGTAGAGAACTTCCTTGAGCAATAGTGTTATTTATTCATGTTTTTTTTTCATTCAACAGTTGGTGCAGTTTTGTTATTTGACTTATTTATTTGGCACACTGCAGTTTTATGTAGAAAAGCAAGTCTTCTTAAATTTAGTGGATATTATACATGGTTTATGCTCAGGATGTGTCGGCTCATTTCCACTGTCCCTTGACTGTAGAGGACCTCTCTGGACTCTGGGCTTTAATTTGAGTCTCTGATAGTTTTTTACTCCACACACTAGTTTAGGTGTTGAGCTCCATGCAACATCCCAGCTCCGTGCTGGACAGAGTGAACTGCTGGTTCAACTCCCCTAAGTCTGTGCTCCCATTGAAGAGCTGCTTTTTTTCTCTCATCCTCTGCATGGCGATAGCCGACTGACTTCAGTGGGAGTCACATAATCAGTCAACCCCCCTCATTTCCAGGATGACGTCCCATCAGAGAAACTCGGTCCAGATCCTGTCCAGCAGGGAGCGGGGGTCCCAGAACTTTGGCTCTCAGAGGCTCCTGCAGCTGCTAGTGGAGGAGAAGGTCCGCTGGATGAAATGGCAGAGTCAGGTGTGTTTGAAATGATTGTGCTGACATATCAACAACACACAATATAAATTAAAACTAAAAATCAAACTTTCCACTTGAGCATACTCGTGTACATTAAATAATAAATGATAAATTAAAGTAATAATTATAAATGTGCAGGTTTATAAGACTTGCTGAGGACTGTAAAATGAACCCTTTATGCACCAAAGTTGCAATATTGCATTTAACGAGCCACAGCTGCAAATCTCCTCACTCATGACGTTATTGCTTTACACCAGAAGATAGTGGGGATGTGTAACTTCAGTCGGAGTAACACTTCTGGGTGTTTCTATTGAAATAGTTGGATTTTATAGTTAGAAAACTTTGAGGTTTGAAACAAAGAAGAAAAGTTGTGTTTGTTTGTGTTTGTAACAGAAAGTGGAGCTCCCAGATAGCCCTCGCTCAACGTTCCTGCTGGCCTTCAGTCCTGACAGGTGAGACACACACACACATACACACACACACACACACACATCATTTTGTTGCATTCTGAACTGGATTTTTTTATCCACACTTTCAGTAACACATATACGTGTCTAGTAGGGGTTGTATGAACTAGTCGACCTCACTGCTCTGTAGTGACTTTGTCATCGATTAGTCGCTGTCACGTGATAATAAGATGCAGTCCTCGGAAACGACAGCAGGTGACGAGCCCCTGCGCGTCGGGAGGCGGAGGCGACGCGCTGTGCCAGAGCGTCGGTACTGACACCCGCCAAAAAATGGACATTTAAACAAATTGTGACCTTTTCCCTTTTGCAATTTAAACTTCCCCTCACTCCCATCCTAATCTTAACAGCTTGCGCATGCAAAGCTCTGATCGTTGACTCGCTCCAGACATCTGCGTCCTGAGCACGGTGTACCTGGTGGTTGCAACAAACAGACACCACTGAAGGTAATCAGAAGTGAGGAACAGAAAATGAAATAATTATTTTAATGTTTAGAGCAGCAGGAACTCTGAGAGGCTGCAGGCGCATCAGTGAGTGCGCAGGGGGAGAGGGCTGAAGCAGGATGCAGAAACTATCGTTGTTAAAAGAGACGTGTTTCACTTAGAAAATGTGGGTGGGCGCAATTTTAATTGTCAAAAACTCCAGCGAACCAACCCGCTTCAGGTGTATGACGTCATCAACGACTAGTCAAAGTCGACTCGATTTTCATTACTTGACTGTCGACTTTAAAAAAAATTAAGTCATGCAACCCCTAGTGTCTAGGGCTGAATCATTTTAGGAAAATATTGAATAGCAAAATTTTCTTGCAGAAATTGCGATTTCGGTTCAATTCACGATTTTCTGCAAACAAAGGTCCAACACTAGCCTGCCAAGCCATCCTGTAAATTAAGTGCTAGATTAAGTGAAAAGATGGTCTAGATTCTAATCTAGTACAATAAATCATTCACATTAATATTTAATATTTAATCATACAATAACAACAGTTAAAGCTATTAAGATTTTCCCCCATTATTATCTTTTTTTTAATGTTTGTGAAGCAACTTGTTGTGCTTTTCATCTAGAGAGGAGCTTTATTGACCCTTTGCACCAATGTCACCTAATCACGTGGGTCCACCATGGTGGACGGCAAAAGCATGTAAACAGTGAGCGACACGAGTACTAAACAAAGGAAAAAGTAGAGCCTGAAATTGTTTTTGCGATCAAAACAAAAACAAAACTCCTCCAGCATTCCTTCAACTAGTTCACGCCCAGTTCAGTTATCAGAGGACGTAGCGCATCTAGCGGGGGCTCATAGAGAGCGGTATGTTAACTAGCTTACCAACATTAGCTTACGTTCTCTGCAGCTGTTCACAGATGTTGCGGACTTTGCTTAAATTCACCCCTCTGGATTTATAACTTAATGTTGTAAACAGCGTTTCACTTTACACCAAAGCTGATTGTTAAAAAGTCCGGATCCCTACCAGATTCTGTTGCTGGTGGTGTCGCCGGGTTCAGCTGCTGCTCTCACACCAGAATGAGAAGATCTCTGAACGCCGACGCTCATATAATTAAATAACGTAATTTTAACACACGTAATCATACATCAGAGCTTTAATATTGTTAATAATTGTCTCGCTTTACACTACAGTGGACGGAGCGCAGCCTCAGTGGTGAAATACCCATCCATCAGGATTATCAATAACTAGCATAAACACATCACATTTATCCCTGTCCCTGTCTTCCTCGTGAAATAAATGAACGTTAATCTTACCCGGTAAAAACATGTTCGCTGCAAATCTGAGGGCTGCTAGTCCACTTGATTGATTGATTGCTGCAGTTCATCTCCGTCCTCAGTCTCCATCAAAGTCTCTCTCTCTCTCTCTCTCTCTCTCTCTCTCTCTCTCGCTCTCTCTCGCTCTCTCTCGCTCTCTCTCGCTCTTCTCTCTCTCTCTCTCTCTCTCTCTCTCTCTCTCTCTCTCTCGCTCTCTCTCGCTCTCTCTCGCTCTCTCTCTCTCTCTCTCTCTCTCTCTCTCTCTCTCTCTCGCTCTCGCTCTCTCTCTCTCTAACACATTAACTTGTCTGTAACACATGTACATGTCTCAATGACATCACTAAATGTCCTTATTTAGTGTCTGTGGTTAGAATTCGGTCTGTAAATCGGAACCGCCAGCCTTTTGTTGGATGAAGCATCAAGACAATCATCTGTTTTGTCTCTGTTTGCAGGACTCTCATGGCCTCCACCCACGTCAACCACAACATTTATATAACAGAGGTGAAGACTGGCAAGTGCCTCCATTCTTTAGTGGGCCACCGTAGAACCCCCTGGTGTGTGACCTTTCACCCCACTATTCCTGGCTTGGTGGCCTCTGGGTGCCTTGATGGGGAGGTCCGGATCTGGGACCTGCATGTGAGTACGCCCTGGGGATTAATGGATCAGGGTCTACATCAAAATTCTTTGTATTATGGACAAAAACATTGTAATGAAATGTTGGCCCAAAATCTCACAATACATGGCCCTATTCATCCTTTCTGTTCCATCTAGTTCAGATTCTGATCTGATCTTGACTCTGGTCTGATTTTATCCTTAACCACTATTGTGCTTTTTCTTCAGGGTGGGAGTGAAAGCTGGTATACTGAGAGCAACGTGGCAATTGCTTCACTGGCCTTCCACCCAACTGCTCAGCTGCTGCTGATTGCGACCAACAATGAGCTGCACTTCTGGGATTGGAGCCGACCAGAACCCTTTGCTGTGGTGAAGACGGGCAGCGACACTGAGAGAGTCAGGTGGGCTCCATGATTTACAAATGAATGTTTTGTGAAAATGAGTTGAAATGGAAGCAGGTGGGTTTACTGACAGTGTGGCGTTGCTTTTAGGTTGGTGAGATTTGATCCTCTGGGTCACAACCTGCTCACAGCGATCGTGAACCCATCTAGTCAGCAGGTGAGTAGGCGGATCAGAACCCCTGATCCAGTCCTGGAACCAGTTTGAGTCATTCTCACAGTAAAAGGGATGAGCCAGATTTGGGTTGACACAGAAAAGAACCAGTTTAACGGACTCAGTGAGGTCTTGGTTCAGATTACAATCCTGGTTCTTGATCAGGTTCTGGTTCTGTGGTAGGGCTTTTTAGTGGTGGTTTGGTGCTGGAGCCAGAGCTAGTGCTGGTTCCATTTTCTACAGACAGATATATACACTGCCCGGCCGTAAAACGTCTCCACCTGGATGTAACTAAGCAGACAGGTAGGAGCCTCCTAGTGGATAATTACTGCAGGGCGATTATCTTTCAGCTGCAACAAGTTATTTAACCCAACGGGTGCAACGAGCTGCTTCTCATTTCTTAAACAACAAAGTGGAACGACACATCTAGTGGTGGAAAAGATGTTAGTCTGTGTGAGAAGGGTCAGATCATGGGCATCAGGCAGAGCAACATCTAAGGAGATGCACAAACGACTAAAACTGGGTTCAGAACTGTCCGACGCTTTATTAAAACTGGTCTGATGAGTCCAGATGGACCCTGTTCCAGAGTGACGGTGCACCAGGGTAAGAAGAGAGGCAGATGAAGTGATGCACCCATCATGCCTTGTGCCTACTGTACAAGCCTGTGGGGGCAGTGCTATGATCTGGGCTTGCTGCATGTGCTCAGGTCTAGGTTCAGCTACAGGATGTGCTCCAAGAATGAGGTCAGCTGACTAGGGTTGTCACGGTAACCAATGTAGCGGTAAACCCCGGTAAAAAAGTTGACAGTAATAATAACCGTCTTGTTTTTTAAAATATATATTATCCCTCTGGATTACCGTGGCTGCGGTGTAGGCGCGGTGACCCTTACCTGCCACCGTATCATCAGCTGAAGTTGCCGGCGGCACATGTGCACTTTGTTGTTTACAACCAAAACTTAGCTCAGGACATTTATTATCCCTCAAAGGAGACAAAGTGGGAAGTACGGGCATTTTTTGGATATCTGAAGAATGCCGAGGGACAGTTTATAGAAGGCGGCTATCCTGTTTGCAGCACGTGCAGAAAAAGTGTCTGTGAAAGGCAGCAACGCTTCAAATCTCATGACACATCTGCGTGACCATCACCCACAACTCTACAGTCAACGCAAGGCAAGCTAACGTTAGCGTTTTAGCTAAAATGCGTGATCCAAGGATTTGGGTTGAGGGAGAATGCAACGAGTCGTTATATAAAGCAGCCGCAGCGCCGCTACCTGCATATAAACCGTGCCGTGGACACCGCCATGTTGAAATGACGCTATGCATTACGGGGCTCCCAGGGGCAGATAAGAGTTGGTCTCTCTCTGAGAATAATTATGAATTTAACAACGATTACTGCCTGATGACATTTTCCCACATCTGCAAAGCTCACTGGAAGGACACAAACCGAGGACGATATTTTCCTGTTATAGGGTTTATTACTCAAGTAAGGGTAAAAAAGTATCTGATCAGAAGACTACTTGAGGACTGAGTATCATCTGATCTAATATTTTTAAAATGATGACATCAAACAGACAAAAAATAAGAAGTTATGGGCAAATATTGGTATTTTAAAGACTAAAGGGAAAAAATGTAAACAAATAAACAACATAATTACAAAATAACACATTTTAGGCAACATTTAGCTACAAACTGAGGACAATATTTTCCTGATATACAGGGTTTATTTAGTTGTCTGGAAATGTAACACGTTTAAAAAAATACCGCGATAATACCGAAAACCGTGGTAATTTTGGTCACAATAACCATGAGGTTAAATTTTCACACCGTGACAACCCTACAGCTGACTACCTGAATATCCTGAATGACCAGGTTATTCCATCTTCCCTGATGGCACGAGCATATTCCAAGGTGACAATGCCAGGATTCATCGGGTCAGAAAGCGAAAGAATGGTTCAGGGAGCATGAGACATCATTTTCACACCAGAGTCCAGACCTTAACCCCATCTATGGGATGCGCTGGAGAAGGCTTTGTGCAGCGGTCAGACTCTACCATCATCAGTGCAAGATCTTGGTGAGACATTAAAGCAACATGGATGGAGACAAACCTGGTGAAGCTTATGGAAAACAACGCTACAGCAAGTGTGTGTTGTAATAAAAGCTAAAGGAGGCACAACCAGATATTAGTGTGTGAGCTTTTATTTGGCCAGGCAGTGTATGTAAAATACCAAAATGACCCTGTCAATAAGTTTGCCCACCCCAGTGCCTAATAGCTTGTATCACCCTGTTTAGCATCAGTGACAGCTTGGAGTCTTTTGTGGTCGTTGTGGAGATGGTTCTCTTTTTCTTGGCAAAAAGCCTCCAGTTCCTATAAATGCATGGTCCGTCTGCATGAACAGCACATTTGAGCTCTCCCCATGTGCAGCTTTTGGGCTGATGAGCGCACATTCTCCTTAGGGATGCATCGATACGATACTGGTGTCGTTATCGGTGCTGATACCAATACAGATACCAGTATCGGTATCGGTAAAAGTTAGCCAATACCATTAACCGATACCAATGCAGTTGCTTGAAAATGGCTTCACTGTAACTTGTCATTTCTGTTCACCTAATATTTTAGTTTTGTGATGATTTCTATTCATATATTTTACTTTTTATCTACCTCACAGTCTTTTCCTATTGACAGCAGAGAAGAAAATAATATCTGTATTCCAAATCATTGCATTTTTTATGTGGTGGAAGTATCAGTATTGGTAATCGGTTTTGGCGAGTACTCAGATCCAAGTATCGGTATTGTATCGGTTTGGAAAAAAGTGGTATCATTGCATCCCTAATTCTCCTCCAGTATTTTTTTTTAAATGAATGCTGCTGACTGTCTTCAACATTGACCAGGTTTCCAGAGCCTTGTTAACTCACACATCCCCAAAACATCAGCCAACCGCCTCCATGTTTCACAGAAGGAATGGAGCACTTTTCATCATAGGCCTTGTTCACTCCTCCCTAACGTTTATGGTTGTGGCCTCAACGTTTTGGTCTCTTCGCTCCAAATAATTTTATTTGATAATTTAATAACAGCTGAACTAGGCTTGCAATGATTAACTGGTTTGACTATTAACCACGGTGTGAAACGCTGTGGTTAACCCACCGTAAACGCGTCTCCAACACCGCAAAAAAAAAACAGCACATTAGTGGACCAAAGTGAAAGTGAACAAACGCACGTTTCCTACCTCCACACACGCATTCGGCTGTCCAACGGGGCAGCCATGTTGATATAGCCTTGTGCCCGTGCATCACAAAGTATCGCGTGAGTTCGTGTTCGTAGGATTACAATGTTTCAGACTTCGACTGAGAGTGGGGGAAGTTAACCAGCGATGCATAAGAATTATAAAGTTTACTGCATCAACTAAATAACCGGGTTACACTCTCCCCCCTTAGTTCATGCACGTCCCTGTGGCTTGGTGACCGTTATAAAATGATTTTAATTCTATTTTCCTTAACTAAATGATTGTACATGGCAAAGTATGAATGAAATGATGGTTATACAGAAAACAGATGATGAATGGAAGCTAGATGTTTTAGCAGAGCCTTGTGAGTATCTGAGAGAGCTTGTGAAGTCTGGGTTGTAAAATCAATTTGGCTGTATGGTTTGATAAGCTAGACTTTATTTAGTATAACACTAAGTGTGCAGAGTCTACGATATCCTTGTATGTCGCTCCCAGCGGTCCGGAGGAAAGGCAGCCCGAGTGACGTCAAGACCGCGAGAACCCAAAGAGTCGTAGTTCACTGGCCATGAGATGCAACCAGGACCTGGAGGTTAGATGTCTGTCTGAGGTGTTGGGTGTCTAAAATCACTCGCAGGCGTTGCAGAGAGGCTTTGACCTTGAGGTCAAAAGGATGGTCTCAAAATGCTTGTTCACTCGACTGGCCTCATTGAGTGAACGGCGAAGACTGACTAGATCAGGAAGTGATTCCTGTTTTTATCAACTTTGTTTATAAATTTGGCAAATCAGAATTTGACACGCTTAAAGGGCGTGGCCAAAATAGCTCAGAAATCACACCTTCCCTCAGATCCTCAGAGAGGTGAACTCTCAGTGTGAAGCGGAAATGTTTTAAACAGTTATATGAAGTGAATGTTAAAACCTTAATATTAATCTTATGATGTATGAGTATACTGATGGATTAACTGGTTAAATCAGCATATACTGGTTTGGTGTAGTTTAAGGTCTGACATGAATCATTGCAGGAAAAATATCCATTTTAACACATCATTGATTAATGTACATATTATGCACTTACTTTGGGATTTAACAATAGATGATTATATGACACTTATGCAATTATAAAGTTTAAAAATGTCATTTATGATTCAAGGAAGAGGAACTTTATTCAGAGAGAGGGTGCAGAAAGTCTGTCTTCTGCATGACTTTTGTTCCAGCCAAGAAAAGGAAGGCACTTATTATGGCTAACTTATTTGGTTGCACGTAGTAGATTCTCGTTTTTCTTGTTTGGAGTCAAGACAGATGTGATGTGTCCCTGGATGTGTGATGCAGTTTGTGTTTGCAAATGAAAAAGTTAATTTCTGGTCCTTTTGATGAAAATACTTGACCTTTAGGTACGCTACACTCATGACCTCAGATGGGCCCCAACTCTATAAACTTCTAAATCAAAACTGAAAACCTTCATGTTTTCATCAGCCTTTGAATAAATGTTCTTATGCTGCACCTTCTGCACTGTATTTGCTCACCCTTTAACTTTAACTTGGTCGTCGTCGTCTTCCTCCGCTTATCCGGGTCCGGGTCGCGGGGGCAGCATCCCAACTAGGGAGCTCCAGACCATCCTCTCCCCGGCCTTCTCCACCAGCTCCTCCGGCAGGACCCCAAGGCGTTTCCGGACCAGATTGGAGATGTAACCTCTCCAACATGTCCTGGGTCTACCCGGGGGCCTCCTGCCGGCAGGACATGCCCGAAACACCTCCCCGGGGAGGCGTCCAGGAGGCATCCTGATCAGATGCCCAAACCACCTCAACTGGCTCCTTTCGATCCGGAGGAGCAGCGGTTCTACTCCGAGTCCCTCCCGAATGTCCGAGCTCCTCACCCTACCTCTAAGGCTGAGCCCGGCCACCCTACGGAGGAAACTCATTTCGGCCGCTTGTATCCGCGATCTTGTTCTTTTGGTCATTACCCAAAGCTCATGGCCATAGGTGAGGATTGGGACATAGATCGACCGGTAAATCAAGAGCCTGGCTTTCTTGCTCAGCTCCCTCTTCACCACGACAGATCGGCTCAGCGTCCGCATCACTTCAGACGCCGAACCAATCCGCCTGTCGATCTCCCGATCCCTCCTACCCTCACTCGTGAACAAGACCCCGAGATACTTAAACTCCTCCACTTGAGGTAGGACGTCTCCCCCAATCCGGAGTTGGCAAGCCACCCTTTTCCGGTCGAGAACCATGGTCTCAGATTTGGAGGTGCTGATCCTCATCCCAGCCGCTTCACACTCGGCCGCGAATCTACCCAGCAAGAGCTGAAAGTCAGAGCTGGATGAAGCTAGGAGGACCACATCATCCGCAAAAAGCAGAGACGAGATTCTCCTGCCACCAAACTCGACACACTCCACCCCACGGCTGCGCCTAGAAATTCTGTCCATAATGGTAATGAACAGAACTGGTGACAAAGGGCAGCCCTGGCGGAGTCCAACCCTCACCGGGAACAGGTCCGACTTACTACCGGCTATGCGGACCAAACTCACGCTCCTCTGGTAAAGGGACTGAATGGCCCTTAACGGAAAGCCACCCACCCCGTACTCCTGGAGCGTCCCCCACAGGGTGCCCCTGGGGACACGGTCATAAGCCTTCTCCAAATCCACAAAACACATGTGGATTGGTTGGGCAAACTCCCATGCCTCCTCCATCACCCTTGCAAGGGTATAGAGCTGGTCCACAGTTCCACGGCCAGGCCGAAAACCACATTGCTCCTCCTCAATCTGAGATTCAACTATCGATCGGACCCTCCTCTCCAGTACCTTGGAGTAGACCTTTCCAGGGAGGCTGAGGAGTGCGATCCCCCTATAGTTGGAACACACCCTCAGGTCACCCTTCTTAAAGATGGGGACCACCACCCCGGTCTGCCACTCCACAGGAACTGCCCCCGATGACCACGCAATGTTGCAGAGATGTGTCAACCATGACAGCCCTACAACATCCATTGCCTTGAGATACCCAGGACGAACCTCATCTGCCCCCGGGGCTCCACCGCTGTGTAGTTGTTTGACTACCTCAGCAACTTCTGCCCCCGAGATTGGACAGTCCATCCCCAGGTCTCCCGGCTCTGGTTCCTCCTTGGAATGCGCATAGGTGGGATTGAGGAGCTCCTCAAAATATTCCTTCCAGCGTCCGACTATAGCCCCAGTTGACGTCAGCATCTCCCCATCCCCACTGTAAACAGTGTGAGCGAGTTGCTGCCTTCCTCTCCTGAGGCGCCGGACATTTTGCCAGAACCTCTTTGGAGCCGATCGATAGTCTTTCTCCATGGCCTCACCAAACTCCTCCCACGCCCGAGATTTTGCCTCAGCAACTGCCACTGCTGCACCCCGCTTGGCTATCCGGTACCTGTCTGCTGCCTCCGGAGACCCACAGACCAGCCTCGCCCTGTAGGCCTCCTTCTTCAGTCTGACGGCTCCCCGAACCTCTGGTGTCCACCAACAGGTACGGGGGTTACCACCACGACTGGCACCGGCCACCTTGCGACCACAGCTAGCAACAGCCGCCTCAACAATTGCAGAGTGGAACAAGGCCCACTCGGAGTCAATGTCCCCCACTGCTCTCGGGACGCGGTCAAAGCTCTGCCGGAGGTGGGAGTTGAAGACCGTCTTTAACAGGTTCTTCTGCCAGGCGGTCCTAGCAGACCCTAACTATGCATTTGGGTTTAACTTTAACTTGGTTTCTTTTTAATTTTTAAATTGTATTTTCTGTCACGTTGATTTTAATGTTCTTGATAGTCTTGCACACACTCCTGAGCCTCCCTGGTAAGGCCTATTCAGGGGTTCTGGAGAGGAGGGTCCATAGGATATTTGAACCTTGGATTCAGGAGGAGCAATGTTGTTTTCGTCTTACCCTTAGGGTGTCCTGGAGGGTGCGTGGGCATTATCCCAACAAATCTACATGTGTTTTGTGGATTTAGAGAAGGCATTAGACCGCGTACCCCAGGCGGCCCTGTGGGGGTACTCCGGGGGTATAGGATACCAGGCTCTCTGATGCAGGCTGTTAGGTCCCTGTATGACCGGTGTCAGAGCTTGGTCTGCATTGCCAACAGTAAGTCGAGCTCGTTTCCGGTGAGAGTTGGACTCCGCCAAGTCTGCCCTTTGTCACAGATTCTGTTCATAACTTTTATGGACATGATTTCTAGGAGCAGCCAAGGTGTTGAGGGGATCTATTATGGCGGCCTGAGGATCGGATCGCAACTTTTTTTTTCCTGCCAGCTCTGCAGATAGACGATCATCTTCTGAGTTTCTCTGTTAGCAGCTTTGGGAGTCTTAAAATAATCCCTCACAGCAGACTTGAAGCACTTCCTAGGTGGAAACGGAGCGGTCCTGGTGGTTGTTCACGGTGGTTCTGAAAGCATGCATTTGTTCAGTTTCACTTTCACGTTGGTCCGCTAATATCTGTTTTTTTATTAGCGGGGTTGGAGACGTTTTTACGGTGGGTTAACCACAGTGTTTCACATCGTCTAAAAATATATAAGATATGTGTAAAAATATTTACTGACAAATTACACTAAAGGGTTGAAAGATGGTCTGGCAACGCTCCATTAATGGTTCTCTGTCATGGGGCGGGTTCTACCATTGTCTTTCAAACGATCTCTGCATGCTACTGGACAATGAACAATGTGACGTACTCAACATAACGGATGTTGGTAAACGAGGCAGTCCGCTGTTGAAAAAGACGAAAATACACCTTTTTTCTTAAAAATTTTACTTAAATACATCTATCTGCTCCTGATTTTAATAAAGCCCAAGTCCTAATAGTCCAAAATGGACTGGTTGATGGTGGTGATTAATGTGGTGATAGCTGATGTAAAAACCGTTTTAAATGAGCTGTTGCCATCTTGTTCCACTCCTTTGCATCATCCCGCCCGCCAGAATAGAGGGCCCTGATTGGCCCACAAAGCCGATAGAGCACTGTGATTGGCCAGCCGTAATGCTGCTAGGGGCTACAGAAGTTAAAGTGGAGCGTTCCTAGACCAAATTTTGCAAAGCAAGAATTTGGTCTAGCTCATTAGGCTAGTTGAAAGGGATTCTGAGCAAGAATCTGGCTCAACAAGGAGATGGATTAAGGTTATATTCCGGTTTGAAACCAGAAAACCAAAGAAACTAGGATAGGTCAGGCTCTGGCACCAAGCTAGCACTGAAACCAGCTCGGTTGAAAATCCCTAGTCCTGGTTTTCATTCTGGTTCTGGTTCTGTGTTCCAGAATGAGGAGGAGTCTGAGGTTCCCATGGACAGCGTGGAGATGCCACACTTCCGACAGCGCTCCTTCCTGCCTTCCCAGCCAGTCCGCAGAACTCCCATCCTTCATAACTTTCTCCACATCTTGTCGTCTCGTGCGCCGAGTTCTCAGAGCGGAGGCGAGCATCCGCGGGCTCTTGGTGAAAACACAGGTAGTATTGGAGAATCTCCCAGTATGCCTCTTGCCCATTACCCTGGCTCTGAGCATGGGCCCTCATACCCTGGTTGCACTCAGCACCTGGGTATGCTGTGCCTGTGCAGTCGCTGCTCCGTCAGCCGTAACCCTTCTCTGGCTGCTGGTGCTTCCACATTAACTCCGTCTGACTCCATGGTATCGTCCGATGTTCCAACGCTCTCCACAGCTTCCACCTTTTCCTCGGCCCGTACGGAACCCAGACAACCATCAGAACGCCCCTCAGCTTTCACCTCAGTCTATTACAGCGCCAGCACCTCTCTCAATTCCGTCATTCCAAGTGCGCTTGACTCACATCCTGCGCCCAGGCCCGGACCTGAATGGACCAGAAGCCTGCTGAGCATGAGGGACAGTGGGGTAAATCCAGCCATGCTGCCTCCCAGGACCTCCTCATCATCCTCAGTCAGTCTTCTGTCAGTTCTTCGTCAACAGGATGGCTCCTCTCACTCTCCCGTTTACACCTCTGCTACCGAGGGTCGAGGTTTCCCCCAACAAGGAGAGTCTGGGACCAGAGATGCTGCTGGCACGAGCAGTGGCCATCACCCCTTCTGGGACGGCTCGCGCAGCAACTCGGCGTCTTTCCGCAATGTGCTGCAGTGCAACCTGAGCCGGTACTTCCTGGAGATAGACCGCACTAACATCGACCCAACACTAGGGGGCAGCCTGGCAGACGGCAGCCAGGAGCCCAGCCGAGAGTTGCTGAACAACAACATGGACCCAGGCAGACCGAGTCAATCTTCTTCCACTTCCTCTCCAACTATCATCCATTACCAGCCTCCTCTCCCTCCTCCTCCCTCTGCCTCCCACAGCCTGGAGAACAACGCTCCTCCTCCTGCCTCCCGAGGCCACCTGAACCGCTGCCGAGCCTGCCACAACCTCCTGACCTTCAATCATGACTCCCAGCGCTGGGAGCGCACCAATCAGGCCTCCTCCACCTCTGCTTCTGTTCCAGAGCCGCCCTCCTCCTCCTCCTCCTTTCCTTCATCTGCATCTTCTTGGCAGCCGGAGGAAACGAGGAGGACACTGGAAGCTCAAAACCAGGATCTGAGGGTGTCTACAGAGCCCAGCGAGCAAACGCCCCCACCACCTCCTTCTCTTCCTCCTCCAATAGGAGGAGCAGGAACTGTGGCCTTCCCCATAGCCCCACCCCCAAGCCAGTCTGGCGAGCAGACAGTGGGCTTGGTGTACAACCAGGACACCGCACAGTGGGAAAGGGTGTACCGGCAGGCTGCTACTAGCCGATCTATTGAGACCCCCGAGGCCTTAAGCCAAGAAATGCCTGTTGACCCCCCTGATGAGGACTCCTTGAGGAGGTACTTCTCTTCCACTTCCTGTTTCGCTTAATCAGCTTCTACCTCTTTTCCAATAATTGTGTTTTCTTGCAGGCGACTGTTGGAATCGTCTCTCTTATCCTTGTCTCGCTACGACATGTCCGGATCAAGAGACCACCCCATTTATCCCGACCCAGCCAGGTAGGCCTTCATCCCCTGAGAGTGACAGGTCTTCATCATAATTTAACCGAACCCTGATTTTATTCCACAGTAATAATAACTAATAAATAAGCCCACTTGTATGGCGGTTTTCGGAATCAGAGACTCCAAACCACTTCACACTACACTGAATCATTCACCCATTCATACACTGATGGTGATGAGCTACATTGTAGCCACAGCTGCCCTGGGGCGCCCTGACAGAAGTCAGACTGCCGTACACAGACATCACTGGTTCCTCTGACCACTACCAACACACAAGTTGGGATAAGTGTCTTTCCCAAGGACATGACTGGCCTGAGCAGGATGCAAACCTGCAACCCTCTGGTTAGGGGGTGGTCACTTAACTCCTCTGTTACTGTCAACCCCACCAATCAGCTGACTTTTAAAGAGGTCCATCCCTCATTTTAACCCTCTGGAGGCAGGCATTGCAGATGTGCAACGTTAAAACCTACCTACCTTGTTACTCCACGTACGTATTTCATGAGCATTTTTAACTCAGAAGTACCCCTGAAGGACTTCGTTGTTCGTCCTTTTATCAAAACTTATTTAGAGCCTGAGAGGGTTAATACATTTGCAGTGATCTCTAGTAATGGTAAATGGCCTGTATTTGATATAGCATCTTCTAGAGTCCTAGAACCCCCCAAGGTGGTTTACAACACAGTCATTCACCCATTCACTCAAACATTCATACTCTGGTGGTGAAGAGCTACGAAGTAGCCACAGCTGTCCTGTGGCGCACTGACAGAGGTGAGGCTGCCGAGCACTGGCACTACCGGTCCCTCCGACCAGGTACTAGGAAGGAGTGCCTTGTAAGTCGTACTCTGGTTGATTGGGGGGGGGGGGGGGGGGGGGGGGGGGGGGGGGGGGGGAGCCAGCCTGTTTCAGGATCTAGAAGTGAGCCTGATCAGAGCTGTGCTTCAGATGACAGGTTTTGGAGTCTTATTTGCTGATATTTGAACATCTTTCCTCTGATTGGCCAACAGCAACACAACTCTGCCACTGACTGTTTGCTCTGCAAACAACACAAGCCTGGAGGAGTTCTGCTGTGTGTTGGAGTTGCTAATGCTAACAGTTATTTTCATGTTCAGCCTGCATGACAAACTCGGTGACCAATTATAATCAGAAAAAGTCATTTAAAAATGATTTCTCTGTGAAGGACTTCTTTAATGAATTGTAAAAAGTCTGGCATTAGTCCAATCCGCTGGTATGCTCCATCTCCTCCCCCTTGTTTAAATCTGCTGCTGTGACCAAAATATAAGGCCTGAGATGTTCATCTTCGCTTTGCAGACTTTCTCCTGCAGCCTACTACGCTCAGAGGATGATTCAATATCTGTCGAGGCGAGACAGCATTCGCCAGCGCTCGCTGCGGTACCAACAGAACCGCCTGAGGGCCATGTCCACATCCTCCGATAGCCCGATAAGCAACCCGACCAATTCCATAGACAACAGTGATGTGGACTTTGAGGAAGTGGAGTAAGTCCTTCATCACACAGCAGGATCGATGAGTCATATTGGGTATTCAAGAGTAGAGATGGTGGTGATGATGATGATGGTGGTGGTGATGATGATGATGGTGATGACGATGTTGATGGTGGTGATGATGATGATGGTGATGACGATGTTGATGGTGGTGATGATGGTAGTGGTGTTGGTGATGATGGTGGTGATGATGACTATTGGTGGTGATGGTAATGATGATGGTGGTGGTGGTGGTGGTGGTGGTGGTGATGATGATGATGGTGGTGGTGGTGATGATGATGATGATGGTGGTGATGATGATGATGATGGTGGTGGTGGTGGTGGTGATGATGGTGATCTTAGTGGTGATGATGATGATGAGGATGGTGGTGGTGGTGATGATGATGATGGTGGTGGTGGTGGTGGTGATGATGGTGATCTTAGTGGTGATGATGATGATGAGGATGGTGGTCATGGTGATGATGATGATAATGGAAGTGATAGTGGTGATGGTGATGATGATGATAATGGAAGTGATAGTGGTGATGGTGATGATGATGATGAGGATGGTGGTGGTGGTGATGATGATGATGATGGTGGTGATGATGATGATGATGGTGGTGGTGGTGGTGGTGGTGATGATGGTGATCTTAGTGGTGATGATGATGATGAGGATGGTGGTGATGGTGATGATGATGGTGGTGATGGTCATGATGATGATGGTGGTGGTGATGATGATGGTGGTGGTGGTGATGATGGTGATCGTGGTGGTGATGATGATGATGAGGATGGCGGTCATGGTGATTATGATGATGATAGTGATAGTGGTAGTGGTGATGATGGTGATCGTGGTGGTGATGATGATGATGAGGATGGCGGTCATGGTGATTATGATGATGATAGTGATAGTGGTAGTGGTGATGATGATGGTGGTGGTGGTGATGATGATGTTGATGATGATGGTGGTCCCTGATCACTTCGATGAGACTTGTCCTCTTTGGGAGATAAAACTTCACAGTGTGTTAATGCAGGAGTCTGTGTCCAGAGAGTAAGCCACTTCAAGGTGCATGGCTCAGCTAGTCATGCTAGTGTATTCCTGACAGGAATTTCCTGTATATTATTTTATGATTCTGTGTCCTCTTTTTTTATGTCAATTGGTCCAAAATAATCCACGCCGATGTTTGTAAATGTTGGTACTACTGTTTCCTCTGGCAGATCTGCCATTTGTTGATTGCAAAAGAAACATTTTGCTGTGACCCTTTTTGCAACTGAAATGCCATTTGTCATCTAAAGCATTCGCCTTACCTCGGTTTCACACTGAAAGCATCAGCAGCGTGGAACGGCAGCTGAACGTCACGGCTTCAAATACTATGGACTGTTTCAAACCAGCAGCGACGCGGCAATTTCCAGGCGCATCCCAGAAGCGGCACGCTGCGCCGCTAAAGATAGGATCGGGTTGTAATTTTTCCGTGAGCCGCTTCTGGGATGCATCAATTTCCACAGTTAACATAGGGCTAGACAGGAAATCACATGCTGTTTCGGTGTAAAATCCCTGGTAATTTTCAAAACAAAAGTACTGCAGCGATGCAGTCTCTAAAGCTTGGTTTATGCTTGACGCTTGGTGATGCGGCTCGCGGATGGAACGCGCTTCACAACTCGCAGCGTTTATGGTTCATGCGGCTTGTCTCTGCGGTGAGCCAATATTCTCCCAAACTGAACGGGGCAGCATGGAGCTCCACAGCATGCATCCAACACTACACCATAATAGAAGTAGAAATTACTGTTTACAACATGGCATTCCAGCATTTTTAACAGCGTCCTCATCTTTTCCGACAGTGCGAGCTATTTCTCTCCAAGAATTATTAACATGTTGATCACGGTGATCTCTGAGAGCTGAATCATACAAATGTCTGTATTTACGAACCTCTGCCATACTAGTTCTTGCCGGTCCGCCATGTTTTTCCGCGTCCGACCGTCCGCGTGGTTAGAAATTTTCCGAGGTGCGCGTTGCAGAAATTTTGGGCCGTGCGGAGGCGCGGTGGAGGGGCGTGGTTGTTAAAATGATGCATTTTCGCTGCGCGGAGCCGTGTGGACCTCGCGGACGCGTCGAGCATAAACCAACCTTTATACATGAGGCATACGTGTGACCCAATGGCTTATTCACTCACAGCATCATTCCACAAGTGCAGCGATGTATTTTCATGGCTTTAATCCTGGCAGTGGAGAGGAACAACATCATATATGACATCACACAGCGATATCAAACGTGATTTCTTTCTTTTTGGTTTAATGGCGGATTGCATAAACCGTGACCTGAAGTCTCGAGGGATCGTGTGATCTCGCGAGTCCAGCGAAGAGCACGGTGAGGAAGCCGCGCCTCTGCCAAGACTCTCCCGGTGTGAAAAGGACCGCTTTGAAGTTCACGAATAAACCATTCCGCTGTCGTTTCACGCCGCTGATGCTTCCAGTGTGAAACCAGGGTTACTGTTGACAGGACATGGTTTCTTCCTCCATGCCTGAGCTGCAGGTGGTAATTATGGACGATAACCTTGGATATGTGCTGATCTTTAGCCAAAATGAGTGGAAGTTTCAATTTTTCATGGATAGCTGCTGTGCTCGACTGGCCCCCAACATGTAACAGTCCTTCCTGTGGGACAAGGTTCAGTTTGTAGTTCTGAAAGCTTTTGTGTATGTCTGGATTACTGGATGGTAATGCAGTAACCTTGTTAGGGAATCTTTGGTTTGAAAAAAAGAAACTATGGCTGTCTCAGCCTTTGTGAGGCTTTGGTTTGCCAGAGTCTTTGAGAGCTTGCGTTTCTTTTTTCGCATCCAGTTTCTGTGTTGCGTTAGTGCCAGCTGCTATTCTTCTGTGTCCTTTTACTTAGTTTGAGAAACTATCTATGAACGCTGACACAACAGATCTTGGGTCAATCAGGAGCACTACCAAATGGCAGCTTTGACCATCACATGATCACCTTGTTTGAAATTTCAATTTTGGTCTAAAATGTTAGATAGCTCAGCCCTACCATTTAAAGTACTTAGAATTATGATACACATTTTCTTCCATACACCACCCAAACCCTATATGAGGAAGCTTTAGTCAGTCATTCATTTATTTGATGCTTGTTCTGTGACCCCTGAGAAGACAGGAAGTGTCCCATAAACGTTATTCTGTTATGTTTTTGTTGTCAGTGATAACGGCGAACGAGCGAGACACCGGACGCCTCGAAACGCCAGGATGTCCGCACCCTCACTGGGCCGCTTCGTCCCTCGGTGAGTCTGGTCTCAGATCAGTGATTCTGCAGCAGCCTGTCCACCTTTGTCTGGATTTCTGTCTCTGATCTGCTTTTCTGTTTTCTTCACCGTGTTCTGCAGACGTTTTCTCCTCCCAGAGTATCTGCCCTACGCTGGAATCTTCCATGAGCGAGGGCAGCCAGGGCTCGCCACACACTCCTCTGTCAACAGAGTGCTTGCTGGTAAACACACACACCCTTTGGGTTAAATTAAAGGAAGATCTCCATGATCCCTAAACTTAATAATGCAGTCATTTTAGATCGTACAGTGGTTGTTGCTCTCTTCCTCTTTGTCTCCAGCTGACCACTGCTTTATAGGTATTCTTATTTTATGTCATCTGTGATTGCGCTGCAACTCCACACACACACACACACACACACACACACACACACACACACACACACACACACACACACACACACACCACACCACACACACACACACACACAGCTACAACAACACGGTGCCTCTGCCTCACTCAAAAATAATCTCAATTTCAGTCTGAGCGAAATGGCGTTTTCTAGACCTCTGTGTTGCCATGGTCACCAGGGAACTATGATCTTTTGTACAGCAGGGAGAAAAAGTACTTGACTCATCAGCTTTTTTTTTTTTTTTTACCAGTAAGGGTGTTTCTATAACCCTTTTCAGACAGACATTCTGGAACATTTGCGGACAATTCAATCCGGTTTTTAACCGGAACTGTGTTTTCAGACACACCACTTTTGTACCGGAACTTGTCCTTTCGGCTGCGTTCACACAGCAGGGAAAAGTTCCAGATGTCTGACGGCAGCGGGGGGGTGGGGTGGGGGGGGAATCGGACTTATGTTAAGAAGAAGAAGAAGAAAATATCATTTCTATAGCGCCTCTCAAGATAAAAATCACGAGGCGCTTAAGCATAATTCTGCGCACACGAAGACGCATAAGAGACCTGGATGATGAAGCTCAATGGTGAAAGTAATCACTGAAGCGGTGTGAAGCGCTCCATCGCGCGCCTAGACGGTACCGTAGGAGGCGAGCTGCCGTGGTTCGCCGCATGCTACAGCAGCGGGCTATATAGGTGCGCACAGCGTCCCCCGGTCCCCTCCTCCTCCCCCTCCCTCTTGTCTGGAACTTTACCTCACCAGTCTGAATCAGCCACCCTGTCCGTAACAAGTCCGGACCTGTTACTAGGGGCTTCGTCCGGATAAATTCCGGAACACGTTATCCGGATGTTTGTATTCAGACAGAAAGGTCTTACGGACAGATTCCGGAACATTTCCGTTTTTCATGGCCTGTCTGAAGGGGGCTTATGTGAACTACTGACACATTTCCACCACATGTCAAGTTGAAGCATTTCAGTCCCTCCAGGATTTTGCGATGTTGCGATCACAACTATCAATGTAAATTCAATCAATCCTTGTTTTTCACCACGTCTTGCAATTATATCCAATCAGCCCAACTTTAATGCATATTTGACCAATCACGATGCATCTTCTTGGGTAGATATAAAGGATGTCATCACTTACACTTCCTGTTTTTTCGTGAGGGTGAAATGGGTGAAATGTGTCGCACATGCAGAAAAAAATTATTGCAAAGGACCGTGCCCTACAATTTTCTTGTTCTCTGCATGACAGTGGCTGTAAATTATTTTGTACACCATGAAATATTGTTGTTGAACACAAACAGAAGTCAAATTTATTAGGTTTTTTTGTCAGCTTCAAAGTGCTGTCTTCAGTTTTGCTGTTGGTATTACAGTTTTTGTGCTACAATCCCCAGAAGGAGGACTGTGCCAGCTTTCAGCCATTTAAACCCCTTTAAAAAAAGGCACCTGTGGCCGACAGACAGCTGAAATGTTCTACTCATATCTTCTAGAACATTTTTGGTAGGCACACAAGACTCCACACACATGCCCACCAAAGCCTTCTGCCGCCTGTGCTTTTTGAATTTTTCTAATCGGTGCTGTAATTTTCGAATGGTGATGAGCAGTTTGACAGGTCCAATTTCACTTCTGAAGGACAGATTTAAAGGCTTCTCTCATTAACAGGAGTACAGCTGCAGACCTCCAACAGCCGAGGGAAAAGGCGGGAAAACAGTGCTGCTCTCTGATTGGTTAAGAGTGTTCAACCATTTTCTGTCCAAGCAGGATCGAGCACCCACACATATGACACATCAAATCGACCAGCTTGGTCTCAGGAATCTTGTATTAAATTTTAAATGCGTGATCTGTTACGATGGTAACACAAGTGCATAAGGATATCCCCAAACAAGTCTCATTGAAATGAATGTGAAAAGCCTAATATTGAGTAGGGGTGTTCCAAAAAGGGTACTTCACGATTCGATTTCGATTATTGGAGCTTTGATGCTTCGATTCTTCGATTTTAATGATTTTTGGTTCGATTCGATTACTGGTGCCACGATTCTTCAATTATTGACATTTTTAATGCTTTTTTCATACAAGATTGTCTTCTTCTTTATCTACATTTGTAAATAAATAACCTATCAATGTATTCAGTTCCTCTAAAACTACTCTCTGAAAAATAGTTAAATGTTAAAAAAATGTATTTACTTACAAAGACAAATTCTTATTTTATGACTGTATGACGTGTAAATATTTGCACTTTGACCAACTTAACTTCGATCAGGGAAAGCTTTACTCAAACTAGTGTCCCCTCCATTGTTGGGAAACACTGAAAACAGGCAAGCCCTGGATTTAGTGAGGTAATTAATTCAAGTAAACAAGATTTTTACTTCCATCAAATTAATTTAATGGAAACTTATGAGTCTGGCATATGATAACATTACAAAAAAGCTGCCATACAGATCAAATAAATAAATTCTGCTTATTCAGTCTGGAATATAGGTAACAGAAAAAAACTGCTATATTTGAAGTTAATATGTTGCATTTTTTCAGAACAAAAGTGCATAATTCAACTGAACATGTATTCAGCCTGGAGCTTCAGTACAGTGAGACGAACACAACAAAATAGAGCAGAGTGACACTCATACTCCCTCCCCTCCCTCTTGTCCCCCTACATCCTCCTGTTGTGTGAGGTGGGCAAATGTCAACATTGTGCTACTTTGACTCTCACTCATCTCTCGAGTTTGAAGAACGTGACTCACCAACTTCCACCCGTTCTTGTCCGACGTGAGAACAAAATGCGCCGTTACAGTAACGAAGGATTTGGTGGCAACCGATGTCCTTGCATCGCATGTGAGCGCTATCCCGGTTGCCTTTCCTCGTAGAGGTGGGGGACTTCTTTCTTCTGCGAAGTGTTTTCGGTGAGAAAGTTTATTGCGCGGCTCCATGGTGCGCACCACTAACCGAAACCCCCTGTTGTTTACTACTGAATACGGGCATAGATCTGTCGCGATAAAAGTAGCTATTAGGGGTTGTATGAACTAGTCGACTAGTCAACCTTACTGCTCTGTAGTGACTTTTTATGCCTGTCATCGACTAGTCGCTGTCACGTGATAATGACAAGATGCAGTCCTCGGAAAAGACAGCAGGTGACGAGCCCCTGCGCGTCTGGATCGAGGCGGAGGCGACGCGCTGTGCCAGAGCATCGGTACTGACACCCGCCGTAAAACGGACATTTAACCAAATTTTGACCTTTTCCCTCTTGTAATTAAACATTCCCCTCTCCCCATCCTAACCTTAACCAGCTTGCACATGCAAAGCTCTGATCGTTGACACGCTCCAGACATCTGCGTCTTGAGCACGGCCACAGTAACATTATCAAATCAGGTGTCACCACTCAAAAACAAATGTAACGCGATCGTTCATGTCGGCTCATTTCCGTTAATGTTTTCTGTCTTTTATTTTTGCTTGATGCACCCCGCTGCTGTGGAGCCATCTGTTTTGTCCTCCGGTGATGCACTGCGGCCGGCGAGCAGCTCGCACTCCGCTGTTTTTGCGTTCGGTGGATCTTTTAGAACTGCAGTTCAAAGGTAACTCATGAGGTGAATATATATGAACCCAGGTAGCAGTTTTTCTTTAGGATTGAGAGGAGATGCAGGAAGATAATAAACACACAGGACAGAAAAATAGTCAAATAAAAACAAATTTGTTTTTGTACCTGGTGGTTGCAACAAACAGACACCATTGAAGGTAATCAGAAGTGAGGAACAGAAAATGAAGTAATTATTTTAATGTTTAGAGCAGCAGGAACTCTGAGAGGCTGCAGGCGCATCACAGAGTTTGCGGCCGCTGCGCAGGGGGAGGGTGAGAGGGCTGAAGCAGGAACAGTATATATATGCAGAAACTACCGTTGTTAAAAGAGATGTGTTTAACTTTGAAAATGTGGGCGCAATTTTAATTGTCAAAAACTCCAGCGAACCAACCGACCCCCCGTCATCATTAATGACTAGTCAAACTCGACTCGATTTTCATTACTTGACTGTCGACTTTAAAAAAAATTAAGTCATGCAACCCCTAGTAGCTATTGCTTTTGTAATGCTCCTCGCCTTCTCTGAGTTCTTCGGTAGTTTGGAGACAGTCTCCAGGATGGAGAAAGAGGTCAAAGAGGTAGTGCCACTCACTAAACAGTCCGGGCGGCACGCGCGTTAAGGCTCCGGTTACGTGTTTTTATTTTTTTTGTACCGGCTTCACAACAAAACTTTGATGTTATGTTTTTTTAAGCATCGACGTTCATTAATTGATGCTGAAACAACATGTTAAGCTTTTAGATGCATCGCCTCATCGATTAATTGCACCCACCCCTAATATTGAGCCTATAATTTCTGCTGTTTCTTATCTTTCTGAGCTCTATACACTTAAAACTAGCAGTATAGCTGACATTTTAACACTAGTAAGAAGGCAGGAACCGCCCCCTCCACCTTCGCTGCTCTCTCATTGGCTGAGAGTTTTCAATAGTCTTCTGCCTAAAAGGAAATATGCACCCACCCATATGATACATCAATTCAACCTGCTTGGTCCAAGGAGTCTTGTATTAACTTGATATTGTGTTCTGCGTTACCATGGCAATGTGCTTAGCAACAACATTTTAGACACAACTGTATCAACATACTTCCATTTCCATCAGCATGCTTTTGTACGATAAGATTACGAAGATCTTAGGAGAGTTTTTTGCTTTAACCCATCATGAAGCTATTCCTGTGTGTCTCCTGGGTAATGTGAAGCCTTATTTAATCAGGACTAATGACTTAGGCTTGTTTTTATCATTATTCAACAAACACGCCATTGGTGTACCTGTCCAAATCAGTGTTGTTGCTGGGCCCACAGTACACGTACACAATCATTTCCTGAGTGACATTTCCATACATGACTAGAAAATGCAATGTAAAAGATGGTAAGAAGTCTAAATAAAGAGACTGTGTGACCAGCTGTTGCACTGAGGGATAATATCACAGCAGCATGTTGTAGTCATGTGGAGGGGAAGCACGAGGAACTGCGGTGGGTCAGGGACGTTGCCATCCCAGCAGGTTGGTGAGTTGGTAGCTATAGCCTGAGGGTACTCGGCGGTCTTATGGCCAGGGGAAAGGAGTTACACAGGGCGTGCTCAGGCCCAAGGGACCAGGTGCTAGGGCTTATTGTGTTGAACGCTGAGCTGAAATCTCAGAACATCGTTGGCACGTGGCAGTCGTTTTTCCACCAGGTGTTCCAAGCTCAGGTGGAGGGCAGAGGGGATGGCATCCTCTGTGGAGCGCTTAGTCTGATATGCAAACTGGAACGTTCAGCTGAAAGGGGGCGGGATTCCTCTCTCAATACTGACAGATTTCAGGTGATCTCCTGGCTTTTTACGCCGTTTGCACCTTGTTATCTTCATGTGTTTAATACTTTTTCTCTGTCTCTCTTCACTTCAGTACTCATAACTCCATTTATGGACTTGAACGTTCAGATGTCTTTGCATGAATTGAATATGTGATGTCGACATGTGGTGGAAATGTTGCCAATAGCCCACTTAAAAAAGCCTTACTGATGAAAATACTGATGTGATGAATATTCATGAGGTCCTCTCCATTCACCATTTATGGCAGAAGGTGGGGGTGTAGGAGGCGGGAGGTGATCCAAAACACCTGAGCTCTTTTCTAGGACAGGTGGGACTCATAAAGCAGGAACTGTGTATGCTGTGTGTTTTGTAGGTCGGGGGATTAATTAGCACAGATAACTCAGCTTCAGTAGGGTTTTAGTAAGCATTCTACATAAAGATGAATTCTGTTTCCTGTCTGTGTCCTCAGGAGCTTCAATCGGAGACGGTCAGTCTGCAGTCGCCAGCAACATCGCCAACACCACCTACCGGCTGCAGTGGTGGGACTTTACCAAGTTCGACCTTCCTGAGATTAGCAACGGTACCACAGCTCTTCAGCTAGCCTGTCAGTCAGCGTTAGGCTTGAAAAGCTGCCTTCTGCTCAGTTCTGACTGAGGAACCTTTAATTTCTGGGTTCTGGTGTCTCGTTCCTCTGGGTTCTTCCTGTCTGTGTGAAGCTCTTCACATTCTTCAGAAGCAGGTCTGAAGGTGAACAGGAGTCAACTCTTTTCCCTTTTCCAGCCTCCATCAACGTTCTGGTGCCAAACTGTAAGATCTATAATGACGCCAGCTGTGACATCTCCTCTGACGGTCAGCTGCTGGCGGTCTTCATTCCCAGCAGCCAACGGGGTTTTCCTGATGAGGGCATCCTGGCCATCTACTCGCTGGCTCCACACAACCTGGGAGAGATACTCTACACCAAGAGATTCGGTACCGTTTCCTTTGATGCTTCCGCTTCCTGCTGCTCTGTTGACTTTTCACTTGGCTTTGATGAAATTGCCTCCTCAGGTCCAAACGCCATCTCCGTCAGCTTGTCTCCGTTGGGCTGCTATGTGATGGTGGGTCTGGCCTCTCGCAGGATCCTACTGCATCCCTCCACCGATCACATGGTGGCACAGGTCTTCAGGCTGCAGCAGCCGCATGGAGGGGAGACGTCCATGAGGGTGAGACGCCGACTGTCCCAGTCTTCATCCTGAGTTCTTCCAGCTGCTGATGGCGGGTTTCTTGGTTCTTTTCTGGTTCAGATGGTCTTCAGCGTGGTTTACCCCATGGCTCCGGACCAGAGGCGCCATGTCAGCATCAACTCAGCTCGCTGGCTGCCGGATCCAGCCATGGGTCTGGCATACGGCACCAACAAAGGAGACCTGGTCATCTGTCGGCCTGTGTGAGTCCGGTTCCTCACGAGGATCACATTAAGTTCTGACAGGGCTGCATTTATCCTGAACCGGGTCAGGAGAACCGGTCACAGCTGGTTTAAAAAAAATCATAGTGAAATCAACAGAAACACGCATTAATGTTTGACCCTGTTCACCTCTGCACGCACACACACACACACACACACACACACACACACACACACACACACACACACACACACACACACACACACTCCTAACATGGTTATCTTAACGATGGACCTAAACAGGAAGAACGTTCTGTGGAACAGCCCATTTAGTGCTTTTAATCAGGTTTGGTTCTGAGATTCCACGAAGACATTCCTCCTCTGCATGTGAGGCTTCCTGGGTGGAAGACTATTAGCTCAGTGTGTGTGTGTGTGTATGTGTGTGTGTGTCTGCATATATATATATATGTGTGTGTGTGTGTGTGTGTGTGTGTGTGTGTGTGTGTGTGGAGGAAGGGTTTTCTCTCCACCTTGATCACTACCAGAAGGGGGGAGGACGTTTTTCTGAGGAGGCGAGCGGCTCCGAGCCGTAACGTTTCATATCAGCAGGTGGGTGGCTGAGCCAGGTGGAGGTGGAGTCCAGTGCAGGTAGTTCCGTACAGACAACGCCACCCGGCAGCTCTACAGCCATGAGCTGTGGCTGATTCTAAATCAGAGTTTTAACCTCAGATGGAGATATGATTGATGCACAAAAGTGCTGAGCTGTCTACAGCCCTCCTCTATAAAGGTTATTAGTAACATCGAGTTGGTTTAGGTGTTACTCGCTCTTTAAAATGAAGCCAATTAGAATGTTGTGTTTTCCTCATGTAGCTTTTATTTTATTTCAAATAAATCATCTTTACTAATTTTATTAGATAATTATGTTGCATTGTTTAGAGAAATAATCATAACAGTTACGTGAAAGGTTTTGTTTTTTCACACACACACACACACACACACACACACACACACACACACACACACACACACACACACACATACTCACTCTTTTCCATTTTCTGGCTAATTCCCTAGTGTGTGTTCAGGTTTTATCGAAGTGATGGGGAGAGTCCTGCAGAGCCGAGCAGTGAGCCGTTGTTCTCCGTTAACAACAGTGGAACTGGACGGACCCGAGGTTCTGAGCGAGCAGGGTGAGGGTTGTTCTGTTGTTTAAGGTTCTAATGGACCACTATTCAATTCTATTCAACTTTATTTATATAACACCAAATCAGGACAAGAGTTGTCTCAAGGACCTTCACACAATAAACATTCCAGTACAGGTCAGGTCATTAAGCCAATCCGTAAAAAGTTTCCTATATAAGGAACCCAGCAGGTTGCATCGAGTCACTGACTAGTGTCAGTCTTTACAGCAATCCTCATACTAAGCAAGCATGCAGCGACAGTGGAGAGTAAAACTCCCTTTTAATATAAGCAGCCATCCACCATGACTCACTGGAGATGGAGAAGACAGAGCAGACACACACGCGCACACACAACATATATACCAAGTTGTGTTTCTATGGTTACATTGTGATTTCTTAGTAAATATTCTATTTGGTGAGAGATAAACGTTATTGTATTTATCCTAGTGAATCTATAATTAAACGGGTTAACTAGTAGTAGCACATTCAATGTCAAGGAAAATAAAATGTTATCAGGAGAGGGAGAATGATTAAGGTGTTAGCAGCAGTGTGCTAGCTGATGGCCCCCTCCAGGAGGCTACCACAGCTCAGCAGAACATCATTGTAGCTTCTTCTGGGGAGAAAAACACTTAGAGAAAAAATAAAGTTAACAGCTGAAATAGCAGGAAATAATGCATTTAAAGAGCAAATTGTAGAGGAGCTTCTGGACACTAAGTCAGCTGTCAACCAAAGCAAAGCTGGTTCTAAAACCCTGTATCACTTGTTTCCATGGAAACCAGACTGATCAGAGGAATGGAGAGGAGGAACCATCCGGCTGGGTCAGCTCTAATTAAATACCATGAATCATTTCAGACCAAGTCGCTCAGGCTGGAGGCTGGACAGAGACATGGGACTGATGAATGCCATTGGTCTTCAGCCAAGAAACCCCACCCCCTCAGTGACATCACAGGGAACCCAGACTCCAATCATCCAGCTGCAGAATGCTGAGACACAGACAGAGAGGGACCTGTCAGAGCCCAGTGTGTCCCAGCTGCCTCTGAGTACTGACACACACACACACACACACACACACACACACACACACACACACACACACACCACACAGACTGCTTCCTCCCATCCTTGTGCTCGTGCTGGAACTTCGGCTCAAAAAGGCTTTAGGATGTCCATAACCCAAACTTGGTTCAGAACCAGAACCAGCTGAACCAGTCCCACCCTTCAGTCCATTCGTTCTGCCCAGACGTGGACTGATATTGTTTTTCTGTTGCCGATTCCACCTTCAATGAAAATGTATTGGTCATACCAATACTAAAGAAGTCCGGTTCTGACATGTCTGTTCTGGCAAATTATCGGCCCATCTCCAAACTTCCTTTCATTTCCAAATTGTTGGAAAATGTTGTCTGTCAGCAGCTGGTGTCTTTCTTGGATGATTCCGATATACTTGAGATTTTCCAGTCTGGTTCCAGGGCTGGACATAGCACAGAGTCTTCACTGTTGACTGTTTTAAATGACGTCTTTATGTGGTTCTGTTGTTATTGGACCTAACAGCAGCCTTTGATACAGTTAACCATGAGATTCTGCTAGATCGCCTGGAGAGATGGGTGGAGATCACAGGGTCTGCCCTTCAGTGACTACGCTCTTGTCTTTTGGGTAGAGGGTTCTGTGTCATGGTGGGTGATGTTGTGTCACCTTGGGAAGACTTGTGATCGGGAGTACCTCAGGGTTCTGTCTATTTTCTCATTTACTTCTGCTGGGGGCTCTCCTGTGCAAACACGGTGTTAAGTTTCATCTGTATGCAGATGATTGCCATATCTATGTTCCTGTTTGTCCAGGAGAGAGGAGCTCCATTTTTAATCTCCCAGCTTGTCTAAAGGATGTCAAGTCATAGCTAGCAGTTAATCTCCTTCACGTGAATGATACGAAGACTGAGCTTATTATCTTTCTACCTAGTGAAGCGAGTGTGAGTTCTGCCTCTGATCTAGACGCTCTCTCACTCAACCAGAAGTCAGTTGTCACCAGCCTGGGCGTGAGACTGGATGCAGGACTCAAACTGTAATCTCACATTAATATGGTTGTAAGGGTCTGCTTCTTTAACCTGCGACAGCTGGCAAAAATCAAGCCCATGTTGTTCCGAGCACATCTGGAGTCAGTGCTCCACGCATTTGTTTTTTCTAGGCTCGACTGTAACTGTAACGCTCTCTGTATTGGGTTGAGCCAGGCAGTGATGAATCATCTCCAGTTGGTCCAGAACTCGGCAGCCAGGTTTCTGACAGGGACGAGAAAATCAGCACATATTACTCCTGTGCTGGTATCGTTACACTGGCTTCCTGTAGTCTTTCAGGCAGAATTTAAGGTCCTTTGCTTTGTCTACCGGTCTCTACAGGTGCTGGCCAGTAAATTAGAATATCATCAAAAGGTTGAAAATATTTCAGTAATTCCATTCAAAACGTGAAACTTGTACATTATATTCATGCAATGCACACAGACCAATGTATTTCCAATGTTCATTACATTTAAATTTGATATTTATAGGTGACAACCAATGAAAACATCAAATCTGGTATCTCAGAAAATTAGAATATTCTAAAGGCCAATGAAAAAATGTTTGTTTCTCTAATGTTGGCCAACTGAAAAGAATGAACATGAAAAGAATGTGCATGTATAGCACTCAATACTTAGTCGGGGCTCCTTTTGCCTCAATAACTGCAGTAATGCGGCGTGGCATGGACTCGATCAGTCTGTGGCACTGCTCAGGTGTTATGAGAGCCCAGGTTGCTCTGATAGTCGTCTTCAGCTCCTCTGCATTGTTGGGTCTAGCGTATTGCATCCTCCGCTTCACAATACCCCATAGATTTTCTATGGGGTTAAGGTCAGGCGAGTTTGCTGGCCAATCAAGGACAGGGATACCATGGTCCTTGAACCAGGTGCTGGTGGTTTTGGCACTGTGTGCAGGTGCCAAGTCCTGTTGAAAGGTGAAGTCTGCATCCCCATAAAGTTGGTCAGCAGCAGGAAGCATGAAGTGCTCTAAAACTTCCTGGTAGACGGCTGCATTGACCCTGGACCTCAGGAAACAGAGTGGGCCAACACCGGCAGATGACATGGCACCCCACACCATCACTGACGGTGGAAACTTTACACTGGACCTCATGCAACGTGGATTCTGTGCTTCTCCGCTCTTCCTCCAGACTCTGGGTCCTTGATTTCCAAAGGAAATGCAGAACTTGCTTTCATCAGAAAACATAACTTTGGACCACTCAGCATCAGTCCAGTCCTTTTTGTCCTTGGCCCAGGCGAGACGCTTCTTGCGCTGTTTCTTGTTCAAGAGTGGCTTGACACACGGAATGCGACACCTGAATCCCATGTCTTTCATGAGTCTCCTCGTGGTGGTTCTTGAAGCGCTGACTCCAGCTGCAGTCCACTCTTTGTGGATCTCCCCCACATTTTTGAATGGGTTTGTCGTCACAATTCTCTGCAGGGTGCGGTTATCCCTAGAGCTTGTACACTTTTTTCTACCACATTTTTTCCGTCCCTTCGCCTGTCTGTTAATGTGCTTGGACACAGAGCTCTGCGAACAGCCAGCTTCTTTAGCAATCACCTTTTGTGTCTTGCCCTCCTTGTGCAAGGTGTCAATGATTGTCTTTTGGACAGCTGTTAAGTCAGAAGTCTTCCCCATGATTGTGGTGCCTTCAAAACAAGACTGAGGGACCTTTTAAAGGCCTTTGCAGGTGTTTTGAGTAAATCAGCTGATTAGAGTGGCAGCAGGTGTCTTCTATATTCAGCCTTTTCAGAATATTCTAATTTTTTGAGATACCAAATTTGGAGTTTTCATTAGTTGTCACTTATGAATATCAAATTTAAATGTAATGAACATTGGAAATACATTGGTCTGTGTGCATTGCATGAATATAATGTACAAGTTTCACGTTTTGAATGGAATTACTGAAATATTTTCAACCTTTTGATGATATTCTAATTTACTGGCCAGCACCTGTATATGATGGTGCTCCACCATACTTGGCAGCCCTATTAACACGGCACACCCCATCACTCTCTCTTCCCTCGGCTGAGCTGGAGCTGCTGACTGTTCCTCACTCCTGGTATAGATGTAGAGATCGGGCTTTCCCGGTCTTGACTCCATCCCTCTGGAATGAACTGCCACTCATCATCAAACAGTCACCCTCATGTCTTCAAGAGTTGCTTGAAGACTTATTTTTATCGTTTGGCTTTTATGTCTCTTATCCCTCTTTTACATACTGCACATAAGTTTGTGTGTGGTTTTTAGGGTTTGTTATCACTGTTTTTATTTGAATCTATGTTATGTTCAGTGCCTTGGGCTCCTGCAGAGGCAGCTCTATAAATAAAGTTTGATTGATTGATTGATACCGATAGGTGGAGGTCATCATGTTCAGCCGTTGGCCGAGATCATTTTTTGGGCTGGTTTTCAATACCAAGGTTAATGAAAACCACCAACAACGTATTACAAGTACAAACGTGTTTCAGAGCATTTATTAAGCAGGTGTTTTTCAGGGATGTAATTTTACACGTGAAAGCTTTACACAGAGCTGCCTGACTAAGTACCAGCTCAGCAGCCAAGTGCCCGCCCCAACACTGGGAAGTCACGGGTTCAAATCCACGGTCGGGTCAGACCAAAGACTCAAAAAATGGGACCCAACGGCTCCCTGCTGGACACTCAGCTATAAGGGGTTGGACTGGGGGGGTGGGGTAAACCACCGCTCTCCTCCATGGGGACGGGTCACTGCGGAGAACAAATTTCACACACACCAGCATGACGACTTTAATCTTTAACCTAAAGAGGCTTATCGGCCGATGTTAGGGATTTTATCAATATGTTTATCAATAAACCCAATTCCTGAAGTGAAAAGGAGACAATGAGCAGACAAGTCAACCAGTTATAACTGTGGCACATGCACGAGGCAAAATGTCCCAAACATCTGATCAGAGAGTTTATTTAAACAAAGAGATAAAGATGGGAGTGAGGTCATTGTGAGAGGAGAGAGAGAGTCAGTGTGTGTGTGAGTGTAAGGGAAGAACAGTGTGTGGGTGTGTCTGAGTGTGAGAATGCTTTAGGACATTTGTAAACAGGATTAAAGCAATGAAATATTAAATTTCCATAACAGTCGGTGATGATAAAATCGTGAAAATCAGCCTGATTAATCGGCCGACCCCCGGTTCTGACTCGTTTTGGTAGGTGACCTGATGCTTGTCTCTCCTCTTAGCAGTGACTCCTGAAGCTCCATCTACGAGTCGAGCAGCTCTGGGTCCACCTGAGAGCATCAGAGGTCATGACGGCGTCCAGACCGAGGACGCTGCAGCAGCTGGTTCTGGTAGGTTTGGCACCGTTAACTGCTGTTGGTTCTGTTGAGATGACAAGTGGTTTTCAGGGTCCAACCTGTGGCGCCTCTTGCAGGTCCAGCTGAGTCAGTGGACTTCGTCTCAGGTGAGGATGCTCTGACACGGATCCGCCGACTCATCGCAGAGGGCGGCATGACGGCGGTGGTTCAGAGGGAGCAGAGCACCACCATGGCCTCCATGGGCGGCTTCGGGAACAACATCATAGTCAGCCACCGGATCCACCGTGGTTCCCAGACCGGCTCCGGGGCCTCCAGGCCTGTGACTGACCCCTCCTCGCAGCCCCTTTTTGTAGACCCGCCCTACCCCAGTCGCCCCCCCCAGGCTGTGGCCCCTCCTGAGCAGCTCACACCCATGTGGGGCCCCCAGGTGCTGCGCGAGCCCCAGGTGGACATGGACGATGTGTTTGATGGAGGACGAACAGACGATGACTCCCTGCCGGGTCCTTCCTCTTCCTCACTGCTGCTGTCTTCCCCCTCCTCCTCCTCCTCCTCCCACAGCCCTCTCCCTCACTCTGAGGGTGGGCTGAACAGTTACCATGGCGACCCGTACAGCAGGTAGTATCCTCAGTGACTGAGAAGAGCAGAGTCCAGGGATCTGCTCGACCCTTGATGCTCAGAAGTTGGTGCTACTTATCCCCCACCCCCCCACCCCCTACCCCAGCGCACTTATAAATCTGAGCTAAGACGTTACCACGATCATTCCTCGTCAGAGACACGCCTCCTTCCTTGTTTGTCCACTTTCATTTTTGACATATGAGTGCCATCTGGGAGGGGGGGGGGGACATCTAACCTAGGGCAGCGTGCTGGTGGGCGGGGCTCCGGTCCACTAAGGGACAGCGTGGGACGTCCCACTGGAGGACAGCAATCACTGAGACTGACGGGACAGAAGCGAGTGAATCTGATGTGGGTTGGGGGGGGGGGGGGGGGCATAATCTACTCCCCTCCCCCCCATTGCACTACAGTGTGTTTGGTGCTACACAAAGCCTGAACAGGTGTGCGTGTGTGTGTGTGTGTGTGTGTGTGTGTGAGAGAGAGAACATGTTTTAATGAATGATGTCATCATGTGAACACAACTGTATAAAACTTCTGATCCAGTTCTTGTTTTTTATGTTTTGTTTAAAATTCTGGCTCATCCCTTGAGTTAGGAGCACTTTCTGTCTGAGCGAGTCAGAGGTCAAACATTCCATTTAAAAGGTTTTGGTAATGGGGAGCGGGTCCAACAAAGGAACTGGAACCAGATAAAGGAATGTCTCGCAGCTGGGAGGGACCAGGTTCTGATTCCAGTCCAGAGGTTCTAAGGTTCCTCTGGTTCTGGTTTTCACTAGTCTGGCCCAACAGAAGCACGACCACGACATGTTAATGTGTGTGTGCTCGTTCAGGTAGAGGATAAGTTGAACCCAGACAGGTTCTACCATTTTTCTGACAGCTTCATGTTTGGACCAGAGAGTAAAAAGGTTCTGGTTAATGCCGGGCCTCGTGCTCATAAATGAAACCTGATCTGGTTCCAGAAGCTTCACATTTCTACTAAAAACTGTTTTATCCACTTCGTGTGAAAAATCCTCGTTTCTGAGCTGCTTTTCTTAAAAGAATCAAGTTTCAGATTCTCTGGTTCTAGTAGATCTGGACTCCTGGTTCCACGGGTCAAGGTTCTGACCCAGAAAAAAATCAGGAGCAGGTTTCAGTTGTGCAGAAACATTAATCCTAAAAAAATCTAATTATTCATAAGTGTAGCATGAAAACCAGCTGATCTAGAAGGTTTGCTTCAGGATGAAAACAAAAGGAGTAAAAACTGAACAGGGTGGTCGCTGCAGCCCTCGAACGCACCAGTGAACACGGCCCTGAGGGACTCCAGAGCTACTGGCTCAGCTGGTCGCTGACACTGAGCCTTCTCTTGGAGTTTGAAGCCTCGGAGATGGAGGAGGGGCTGCTGAAGACCTCAGAGTGGGGGGCTCTCCAGTCTCTGGTGCTGAGGTCACTGAGGTGGTCCAAAGGCCCCTCAGTGGCAAAGCCCCGAGGGTGGATGAGATCTGCCCAGAGTTCCCGAGGCTCTGGTTGGTGTGAGGTCATCAGGGGGGCCAGTGTGGGGAGCCCCCCCCCCCCCCCCCCCCATCTAAAAAAAGAAACTGCAGGGTTAAGGTGAATGGTCTGTCTTTGTATAGCGCCTTCTTAGGTTTCTACAGCCCCCCAAGGCGCTTTACAGCAGTCATTCACACCCTGATGGTGATGAGCTACGATGTAGCCACAGCTATTCTGGTCTGCCGTACAGACTCCACCAGTCCCTCCGACAACCACCATTAGCCAAGGAGGTTAAGTGTCTTGCCCAAGGACACGACAGCGAAGAACTGAGAGGGGATCGAACCTGCAACCTTCCAAATACTGGACAGCCTGCTCTACCTCCTGCTGCCCCTAGGTCTGTTGAAGGTTTAAGGGTCATTACCAGGTAAGAACCAGTCCAGTACACATGAAGGTCTCAGGTTTGTAGAGCGATTCCATCTTCGTGCTGCTGCGCGAGTCTGAAGCTGTGATGGATCAGAAGCCATGAAAGCATCTCCCCACACTGTTGAAGGGTTGGACTTGGAAACCAGAACCAGGAAGGACCTCCAAGAGCAGGGGGTGGTCAGACAGGACCTCGGTATCTAACCTAAAATAGATTAGTAGCACCGGCCCACCGTGGTGAAGAAACAACCACCTGGACTCTGGACCTGGTGATTCCAGCTGGAGGTAATTCTCAGAACTGCTGCAGCCCACTGAGCCTGATCTGGGACCAGCTGTGGGAGGCAGAGCTAACACTGATGATGATGGACCGGATCTTCCTCAGCTGGTTAAAAGCAGAAGCTGGTGGAGGTGGAGGCACAGAGTGGCTGGAGCAGCTCCATCAGAGGTAAGGTGGTCCTCACCGTCAGAACTAACGTATTATTCGATACAGAAAAGTCACGTTATTGATGAATGGATGAATTTTTGTTTCAGTACAAATTTATTTAAATGCAGTTAAATTATTTATTCCTGGTGTGTGTGTGTGTGTGTGTGTGTTTATATGTGAGTGTGTGTATGTGTATGTGGGTGTACATGTGTTTGTGTGTGTTTATAGGTGTTTATATGAGTGTGTGTATGTGAGTGTGCATGTAAGTGTGTGTGTGTGTGTGTGTTTATATATGTGAGTGTGTGTATGTGTATGTGGGTGTACATGTGTTTGTGTGTGTTTATAGGTGTTTATATGAGTGTGTGTATGTGAGTGTGCATGTAAGTGTGTGTGTGTGTGTGTGTGTTTATATATGTGAGTGTGTGTATGTGTATGTGGGTGTACATGTGTTTGTGTGTGTTTATAGGTGTTTATATGAGTGTGTGTATGTGAGTGTGCATGTAAGTGTGTGTGTGTTTATATATGTGTGTGTGTGTGTTTGCGCACACACACGAGCGAATTGTGAACTGGCATTGTGATTTTGCACTACTTAGATGTAGCCATCCTTACGCTGACAAAATGTAACTAAGTAACTTACTTTGAGTACATTTTGTTTATGATACTTTTTACTTGAGTAAAAATTTAGGCAAGTACTTTTACTTGTACTTGAGTAAAAATTATCAAAGTATTGGTACTCGTACTTAGGTAGGAAATTTTAGTACTCTTTCCACCTCTGCATATGTGTGTATGTATGTGAGTGTTTGTGTGTGCATGAGTGGACGTGTGTGTGTGTGCGTGTGTGTGTATGTGTGTTTATAAGTGTGTGTGTGTACATGTGTACTAAATGTGTACGTTTGTAGGAGACATGGAACAGACATCTGATTCTGACCTGAATTCATCATCTTGGCTCCACCCCCTTGTGAATGCCTCCTCCCAGCCTCCAATCAGACAGCCATATCTGTACAGCTCTGCTCAGCTGATCCTTGTTGCTATGGTAACAGGTTCCCTGAGCATTTTCACTATCCTTGGCAACGCCCTTGTCATCCTGTCCATCAAAGTTAACCGTCACCTGCAGACGGTGAACAATTACTTTCTGCTAAGCCTGGCGGCAGCCGACCTGTTCCTTGGTGCTTTGTCCATGAACGTGTACACGCTGTACCAGCTTCGGGGCCGCTGGCCCCTGGGGGCTGCCCTCTGTGATCTGTGGCTTGTCCTGGACTATGTGGTGAGCAGTGCCTCTGTCTTGAACCTGATGCTCATCAGCCTGGACCGCTACCTCTGCCTGACCCGACCACTCAGGTACCCTGCATGGCGGTCGGGCCGTGTGGCGGGTGTGATGATTAGTGGCGCCTGGCTAATGTCCTTTGCATTGTGGACCCCAGCCATCCTGTGCTGGCAGAGGGATGGTGGTAGACGAGCAATCCCTGATGAAGTTTGTTACATCCAGCTGCTGGCAAGTCCAGCCATCAATCTGGGAACCGCGCTGCTGTCCTTCTACCTGCCAGCGCTCATCATGGTGGGACTGTACAGTCGCCTTTCGGCAGCCAGCCGCTGCAGGCTGAGGGCACTCCAAGCAGAACAGAACACGATCAGGACCTCCAGTTCCTCCATCAAAGGCTTCCTCCTGAGGCGGTGCAGTTGGGCATCCAGCGACCAAGGCTCAGACCTGTCCCTGCACCACCCCAGCGCGTCCAGCAGTCCATTTGACACAGCAGAGACATCAGAAAACTGGAGACACCTGGTAGGAGTCATTCTTCCACCAAATTTGTAACAGTCACACTTCCTGTCTGTTTATTTCTGAGAAGCTCTTGGCACCAGATGTATTAACTAATCCATCTGTCTCCTCCGCAGCGATTGTCTCGTACCACCTCCTGCCCCACTAGAGAGGAAGAATCCAAGATTGATAACGACTCTTCATCCAACACCGACCTCCACGGTTCAGCCTCAGAGGTGGTTTCCTGTTCCAGCTTCAGGTCTGAGGAGAGGAGGAGGCGGCGTGTCATGGCGAGGGAGAGGAGGGTCACCAACACCATCTTGGGCATCATGCTGGCCTTCATTCTCACCTGGGCACCATACAATGTCATGGCCGTTGTGGCTGCCTGGCACATTCACATCCCCAACACCATATGGGCCACAGGTTACTGGCTGACCTACATAAACAGCACCATCAACCCATGCTGCTATGCACTCTGCAATGTCACCTTCAGGAAAACCTTCTGCAGCCTCCTGTTGTGCTGCTGCAGCAGAAGGCAGCGCTGATGTTTAGTTAGTTTTCACACCAGCAGTCTGGTCTTCGTTCATATTATCTTCAGATCTGGTCATCAGCCCAAATATCAGTCAGCTACCCCTGATCCTGATGTCTGCATTCCTGCATCCCAGAATGCAGCACAGACCTGCTGCAGGCATTACAGGTGCTGGCCAGTAAATTAGAATATCATCAAAAGGTTGAAAATATTTCAGTAATTCCATTCAAAACGTGAAACTTGTACATTATATTCATGCAATGCACACAGAGCAATGTATTTCCAATGTTCATTACATTTAAATTTGATATTCATAAGTGACAACTAATGAAAACTCCAAATTTGGTATCTCAAAAAATTAGAATATTCTGAAAAGGCTGAATATAGAAGACACCTGCTGCCACTCTAATCAGCTGATTTACTCAAAACACCTGCAAAGGCCTTTAAAAGGTCCCTCAGTCTTGTTTTGAAGGCACCACAATCATGGGGAAGACTTCTGACTTAACAGCTGTCCAAAAGACAATCATTGACACCTTGCACAAGGAGGGCAAGACACAAAAGGTGATTGCTAAAGAAGCTGGCTGTTCGCAGAGCTCTGTGTCCAAGCACATTAACAGACAGGCGAAGGGACGGAAAAAATGTGGTAGAAAAAAGTGTACAAGCTCTAGGGATAACCGCACCCTGCAGAGAATTGTGACGACAAACCCATTCAAAAATGTGGGGGAGATCCACAAAGAGTGGACTGCAGCTGGAGTCAGCGCTTCAAGAACCACCACGAGGAGACTCATGAAAGACATGGAATTCAGGTGTCGCATTCCGTGTGTCAAGCCACTCTTGAACAAGAAACAGCGCAAGAAGCGTCTCGCCTGGGCCAAGGACAAAAAGGACTGGACTGATGCTGAGTGGTCCAAAGTTATGTTTTCTGATGAAAGCAAGTTCTGCATTTCCTTTGGAAATCAAGGACCCAGAGTCTGGAGGAAGAGCGAAGAAGCACAGAATCCACGTTGCATGAGGTCCAGTGTAAAGTTTCCACCGTCAGTGATGGTGTGGGGTGCCATGTCATCTGCCGGTGTTGGCCCACTCTGTTTCCTGAGGTCCAGGGTCAATGCAGCCGTCTACCAGGAAGTTTTAGAGCACTTCATGCTTCCTGCTGCTGACCAACTTTATGGGGATGCAGACTTCACCTTTCAACAGGACTTGGCACCTGCACACAGTGCCAAAACCACCAGCACCTGGTTCAAGGACCATGGTATCCCTGTCCTTGATTGGCCAGCAAACTCGCCTGACCTTAACCCCATAGAAAATCTATGGGGTATTGTGAAGCGGAGGATGCAATACGCTAGACCCAACAATGCAGAGGAGCTGAAGACGACTATCAGAGCAACCTGGGCTCTCATAACACCTGAGCAGTGCCACAGACTGATCGAGTCCATGCCACGCCGCATTACTGCAGTTATTGAGGCAAAAGGAGCCCCGACTAAGTATTGAGTGCTATACATGCACATTCTTTTCATGTTCATTCTTTTCAGTTGGCCAACATTAGAGAAACAAACATTTTTTCATTGGCCTTTAGAATATTCTAATTTTCTGAGATACCAGATTTGATGTTTTCATTGGTTGTCACCTATAAATATCAAATTTAAATGTAATGAACATTGGAAATACATTGGTCTGTGTGCATTGCATGAATATAATGTACAAGTTTCACGTTTTGAATGGAATTACTGAAATATTTTCAACCTTTTGATGATATTCTAATTTACTGGCCAGCACCTGTACAAGTGACCACTGGGCCAGATCATGTTCACGCTAGAAACCAACCATTGAGGCCAAGCTGAAGTCTGTAGCTGTTGTGGGAATCCTAAAATGCGTATGTGTGACTGTCATGTTTGTGTGGAAACCATTGACATATATACTGGACAGTTTGTGTCCATAGGCTCCAATTATAAGTTTTTGTGCCAAAATGGGAGGTGGCCACGACCGCCATTTTGACCGTGTCACAGGTTCCGTCAAGCCCAGACGATTCCAAAAAAGGGAAAAGAGGTGGAGCTGAGGGTGGGGCTGTAAGGCTGGGATCAAATGACGACACCCGTCGAACTGAAGTGATGTAGCTACAAGCTAACTCAAAGCTAACGCGAAGGTGGGAGCTAACGGAGGTAGCTACCTAGCTACAGCCGGAGTTAACTGTGCACAACACCGGAGCTTCTGAGTCACAGATACACCGGGCTGACCGCTGGGTAAAACCAGGTGGAACACAGAGGTCTCCTTAGAGCTCCACAAGCCAGCAGCCGCGCAGCAGGCAGGCGCCACTGCGATCAGAGATGCACCGAGCTGCCGCTGAGGGGAGGGGACCATACTGATCGTCAGAACCCAGCTCCACCAACATGTCATATTTCAACCCATTTTCAAAAATGCATCGTCATGTTAAATGCACTGGGTTTACTCTATTACATTTAAATTTAATGGTTAAACAGTACATGTTAAAATCTAAGCTCCGCTCGGCAGTGACCTAAAATACATAAATATAATTTTACTTACCGAAAAAAATGAAGTGGAGACCCCTTGGATGCTCTATTAGTGCAATTAATGCCACAGCAAGTCATTTTGTCCAATAATTGCACAAAAAATATCCAAAAAGAACCCACAAACGCTACAACTAATGGTCTAAGTTGAGAGACTGAAAATGGCAGAACAGTTTTAAGGGGAGGCTGAGGCCTTTCCCCAGAGCTAGCTCTGCGGTCACGTGGGTCTGATGCTCATTAATTAGTCAGAATTTTAGGCTTTTTTAATACACTTAAACAGAAGAGTGACAAAAAATCTGAACTGGCATTGGTTTAAAGGCACACTTGCAGTTTTGCTTGCTTTTAGCGCCCTCTAGTGTCTGTTATTAATTCTCTGTGGTCAAACCAAAAATGAAACATAACTCCTCCCTGTGTGTTCATACTTTTAACACCTTAATCTAACAGCTGGTATATCTCCCAGCATTCCTAAGTGTCTAGAAGAGTGACTCGTCATCACTTGTGTTCATGGAAACGTGCTGGAAGCAGCGTCCCAACAGACCAGACCTGCAACTGTGAAGTTCAAGTGCGATGTTCGGGCCACAGGGGCTAATGGGGGTCTGGGTCACATTTCGTTAACCCGGTAAATGGTCATTTTAGCACAAACTGCCTCAAAATAATTATAAAATATTAAAGTATCAACGTCTGGCTTCAACAAGCTGTCTGTGAAATCCAGTCACATTCTGTGCCCCTAAATTAAACATCTCACCATCTCCTAAATATTCTTACTCCAGGTCTAAAGTTTGCTCAAAATTTCCACATTTTTCCATCAAAATTTTATTTATAAATCACAAAGTTTGCGTGAAAAGTCTCTCACGCAGTTGTCAGACCCGTTTTGTGCAGAAGCAGCTTTACAAATGAGGCCCCAGCGATCATGACTCGAGAGACTACCTGGATGGGGAGGCAGGAACCTGATGACATACCAAAGCCCCATCCAGGTTTCTGCTCTAGCTTAGCTTAGCTGAAGGGAAGAAGCAGCGGAGACATGTGTAAAGCCAAAAACTGCTTTGGGGTGTTTTTGTGAGGAAATAATAAAATTTGGTCTAAAGCTCCAAAGAGTGTATTATGCATGCCACAGTCTGTACTGCCCATGTGTTTTTATTTTTCTTTTAATTATCCTTTTGAGTGTTGGTGCTGCTGTAACAAGTACATTTCCCCACTGTGGGATCAATAAATTCTATTCTATTCTATTCTATTTATTCTATTCTAGAGAACGAGTAGTTCTAAAGACCTCAGTAAGTTCATAACGTTGCTTGTTTGACTTCTGAATGTGTCTTAGTGTGAAACCATTTCTGGGAAGAGAAATCTTAACAGAAGAAGAGATTGTTTCCTGAGGAACCAGATGTGTTGCATCAAGCCAATAACATCTGGGTCAACATGGACGAAGGAAAAACCAAGTCTGTCCAAGCTGCGTGTGTGTGTGTGTGTCCGTGTCCGTGTCCGTCCTCTGGTACGTCTTGGTGCAGTGGTTCTGGTCCATCCCAGTGAGACTACCCCGTTCTCACCTACTCAGAGAGACCAGACCGCGATTGATCCTTAACCAGGTTTGAAGACAGCAGGAGACCTTCTTTTAGGTTTCTGTAACAATCCTGCTACGCTAGGGGGCGCCGCTTGTAAAGTAACATCTTAATTTATAGATGTGTTAAAAATAAACATGGGCAGTGAAGCTTTAGGTCACCTTTCTTTCTCATTAAGGACATTAAAGTCACAAGTGTTTAAAGATTAATCTGAAAATTCGTGTGAAATATTAGCTAATCATTTCGCAATAATCTAATCTGGCTATAAATGAGTTGTACCCCATGTCGCCAGTAGAGGGTGGTGTGAGTTCTGCGAAGTAGACCCATCTACTTCCGGTACAGCTGACTCGCACATGTGAGGCACGCGGCAGAAGCACGGACCAAGTTGTAAGATGTTACTTATAACTACATTTTGGGTTGTAGAGCAAGGTTTGTTGCTCAGTGGACCGAAGAAGATTGTCCCGTTCTTGCTTCATCTTTTCTCCGGTGAGTAGCGTGCTATAATGCTAAGCTAACTTTTCGCTAGCTATGCTTATACAATTTATTTTGTTTTCTAGTGTTGATTAGAATTTGTGAGATAATTTACCTTTGAGAAACTTTAAGGATGAGCTATGTAAGGAAAAAAACAATGTGTAGTCATTCACAAATCAGAAAATATTAGTGGGAACCAAATAATGCTTTAAATGAAGGGTAATCCCACTGCCATGCACATGTAATTAATGCATTCTGTAAATTACTGAAATATTTATTTTTTGATATGAATAATTTGAAACAGATCAGAGTTGTTTATCTGAGGAGAAATAACAAGACCTGCATACGCAGGCTGTTTTTTTTTTTTGGATTGTTTGATGAGAGCCTTGTGCTGTGGATCCAAGCCGCTGCCCCTCTTCAATTAATCATTTGAAGCCAACAAGGAAGTGGCTACATTTGCAGTTCCGCCCTCATCCACTAGGGGCTGGCAGTAGAAGTGAGCAAATTCTCATTGACTCCCATGTTAAAAATGAAAATTTAACAGCAGAAATAAACAAGTTTACAGCATGGTTAAAAAAACCATTTTAGGTTTAATAGATCTAG